ATAATAGACTTTTTTAAATTTATTATTAAAGCCTTATAATTATTATATATAAACTTCCTTTTTAATATTAGTATTAAAGAATGCAGTAATAGTATTAAATTACTACTATTTAAAATTATTAATTACTATAATTAAATAAAACACTTTAACTAATATAAAATAGGCTATTATAATATAAAGTTCTTTTATTAAATAGTTTATCTCTTAAAGCTAATCTCCTTAAATAACTAAGCATGCCTTTATTATAAAATTACTATTAGTAAAATGCTTTAAATTATATATTTATTTATTATAAAAAATTATAATATTCTTTAATAGTATAACTAGGCTTTAGGTTTATCTTTTAATTAAATTATTATATTATTTTTTTATTATAAGAAATTATTTAATCTTATAGTTATACTTCTTTTTAATATTATTTTAATTTTTAAAAACCTTTATACCTTTATTAAGTTATTACTTAACTTTAAGAGTTATAAATATTATAAAAATTAGTTATTTTTTTATAAATTTATTATACTCTTATTATTTAATAATTTTAATTATTAATATAATTTTTTTTATTTTTCCTTTATATAAAGCTTTATAATTAACTTAAGTAACACCCTTTATAAAGTAATACTATTATTAATTAGCTATATATATTTTATTTATTTAATTTAATTTAGCTTATTTAAGTATAGCTAAGGTTATATTTTTAGTATTAATTATAAGGTTTTATAAGTTAAGGATAATAATAATAATAATATTTTAGTAAATAGCTTTAGGTTTAATTAAATATTAATTATAAAGATTATAATAGTCTTAGTTAGTTAAAGAGGTCTTATTTTATAAATCTTTTTATAAAGTAAGCTTTAAGATTTAAAAATACTTATCTTTCTTATAATTTACTAATAATTATTATTAAAAGATATCTTTATTATTATTAGCCTTAAAATACTTAGATTTATTAGCTTTAGTATTATTATTAATTACTTTATTAGCCTTAAAAGTGTTTTAAATAGTAATTATATTAAAAGCCTGCTATAGTTTAGCTATTTAGCTAATTACTATTTAGCCTCTTTTTTTAATTTTAAGGTTAATAAATATAGCTTTATACTTAATTTCTAGTTCCTCTTAATTATAAAGTATTTTACTACTTAACTTTTAAAATTATATATTTTATAATTTAATAACTTTATTTTTATTTAGTAAATAAACTTTATAAATATAGCTATTTAGGCCTTTTATATTAATAAAATATTCTTTAATTACTTTAAAGTATATTTTTATACTTTTAACTTATTAATTTTTATATTTCTTAATATATATTATATAACCTTAAGTCTTAATATACTTAATATTATATTTATATTTTATTTAAATAGCTTTAAATATCTTTTTTAGTAGTAAGATTTTATTTTTATTAAATAAAGTTAGTAGTAAGTTATAAATATATATAGTAAATTTTATATATAAAGGCTATAAGGTCTTAAATAATTTAATTTTAATATAAATTACTTATTTTAAGTTTATAAAGCTTTTTCTAGCCTATTTAATTATATTATTTTACTAAAAAGTATAAGCTATAAAGGTTTTAATAATAAATCTATTTTTATAAAACTAGTTTTATATTTCTTATAATATAAATTCTTTTATATTATTAAATACTATAACTTAAACTTTATAGCTATTATTAAAAACCTTTACTTAGTTTTTTTAATTTTATAGTTTTTTTATAATATTCTTATAGTTAGTAGCTAAAATTAGCTATTAATAATAAGTAAAGGTATTAATTTTATAAAGTAAAATCTTAAAACCTTTATATTTAATAAGTATATAAAAGATTATATTTTAAAAAATAATTTAAAAGAATTTTATAAGTTTAGCTAATAGTATATAACTAATAATAAATTTAAACTTAGCTAAATAGTAAGCTTTATAATAAAAGTTTTTAATTATTATTTTATTTACTTAAATTTTTAATTATTAATAAGCTTTTAAAACTTATTTCTTACTAATATAGCCTAGTCTTTTATATATAAGACTATATTTTATATTTATAATAAATAGTTTAATAAAAAGTATTATAAAATTATAATATCTACTAGTTAATAATATTATTATTTTTAAAACTATAATATTATGCTTTTAATAAACCTTTATAATTATAATTACTTTATTTTTTTATTATATAAGTAATTCTTTTATAAAGTTATACTAAATATTTTTTTATTTAAGAACTTTTAGGCTTACTATATTAATAGCACTTTAAAAAGTATAGGTAATATTTTTAAGTCTAATTATTTTATTATTTAATAGCAGGATAATTATAATGCCTATCCCTTTAATCTTTAATATACTTTTATTAAATATAGCTATTATATTAGCTTTATTTAGTATTTAAATAAAAATAAACTACTTTAAGTTATTAAAATAGTATAAGTTATAGCCTAAGTTAATAATAATATTATTTTAATTAATATTATATTTAGTTAAAGTAAAGTTATAGTTTAAAGTATTATTTTATATAATTTTAATAATATTATTTTTATTATTTTTAAAAAGATTAAGCTTAATAAGGATATTTAAGGTAATTATTATATTAATAAATAATTATTCTGCTTTTATAATATTTAAGGTGCTTTTAAATAGTCTTTTTTTTACTATAGGCTTAAGTTTATTTTTTCCTTTATTACTAAATTCTTATTTTTATAAATAAAATCCTTAATATAAGTTTAAATAAAATTAAAAATAATAATTCTTTAATTAAAGCTTAAGATAAAGTCTTTAATAAGTATTAAATATATAAGGCTTTTTATTTATTAAAATAATATAGCTATATTCTAGCTTTTTAGTTTTATTATTATTAAACTTGCCTTATTTTTACTATTTATTATTATTTAATAAAAAAAGGGCAGGCTACTTAAAAATACTAAATATCTTTTTAGTTCTTACTTTCTTATTTACTTATAAGTAAAGAAACTTAATAAGTTTATTTTTCTTAACTTTTTTATTTTAATAAAGATTTATAGTTTAATATTTATACTAAGTCTTATTAATATATTTAAGGCCTATAAGTGCTATAGTTATAAACTAAGCCTTTAATACCTTTAAATATTAATAAGTAATATAAGTTTAAGCTTTTATTAATATATTAATATATACTTTTAAAAACTTAAATTAACTATATTTTAAATAATTAAACTCTTAAATAATAATAAAGACTTCTTTTATTAAGGCTTTTAAAATAATAGTTTTTATTATATTAAGAAGTTCTTTTATTATTAAGTTATTATTATTAAAGCCTTTATAGTTAAGCTTTATATAAATCTTTATTAATAGGTTATTTAAAATAAATTTTATTATTAATATATTATTTTCTTTTTAAGTATTTTTCTTAGCTTAAGTAGCTTTTTTAGCTATAATATTTATCCCTTTAATAATGCCTTAAAGGCTTATTAAGTATATATTAATTTTAAGTGTTTATTTTTAAGTATTTTAATTATTAAGGCCTTTTAATAGTATTACTAAAAGAAAGAAGTTAGCTTATAAAGCCTTAAAAGTGTTATTTTTTATAAATATTAACTATATTATTTTAAGCTATATTATTTATAAATTTAAGTTAAGGTTATTATAATTAAAGTTTTTATTTTTAATAATAAGTTTAAGATTATTTTAGCTTAAAGGATTAAGTAATAATTATTTTATTAATATATAGGTAAAATAAAGTCTTTAAGTCTTTATAAATAAAAAAGAAAAAGGTTAATCTTTTAAATTAAAAAAAAAGTAATTTATATTAAATTAAAAGTATAACCTATATTAAGTTAAAGGTATAATAATAATAGCATTATTTATTACTAACTTAAAGGTTTAGGTATAATTTTTTTATAATTTTTAAAAAAGTATAGGGCTTATAACTTAATAAAGGTATAATAATAAGCTCTTTTCTTTTATAAAAGACTAGTTAAAGAGAAAGAGAAGGAAAATAAATAAATGGCTATAAATGCATTATAGGCCTAAGGCCTGTAGTGTTATAGGGTGGTCCTAAGTCATTAGGGTGGGGACTACTTAATAATAGGTACTTTTAGAAAGACGCCAGTTGCAGAGACGGGAAGTCAGCACCCACAAGAGGCTAATGTCGTCGTGTTACGGCTTGCAGGACACGACTTTGAGTCGTCGGCCGGATCGGCAGTGAGGACCTCGTGCTGATATACAGCCTTCTCTCTCTTAGGCATTGGCCGCTCAATGAAAACAACTGCTTTCTGCTTCATACAAGGTGCCACTGGTGAGAAATTGACGAGTATCGGATAGATCGAATGGAAATGACGGCCTTTCCCGGAAGTTCGGCAAAGACATTGGCCACTTATCATGTACGTAAATGTGAAGCTTTGGTGATCAACTTTGGTGGCGGTCAATGTTCCCTTGTTCAAATGACCGTGGCATCATTTCACTTTAGGTGCCATCCAAGGCATATCTGACGTAGATTAGCAGACCAAGCAAAAAAAAATACTTGCTGGTCTAATACGTTGTATAGACCGAGAGACCTTTTCAGGTGAGCATGCAAACCACCTAAACGTGACAAAGTCTACAGGAAAGCTTGGTTACCTGAGCAGGTTCAAGGGCTAATTACAACCATACTTCATGTCATGAATCAATCGTGAGCCTTCTCATCAGACGTCATTCACCGGGGCCGTGACTGCCTTTTGGCGCTGTCAGATCGACGTGCGTGGAGAGTAGAGTCGGTCAGCTTACCCGCCATCCGCTATTATGCGGATGTTTGTGGTAGTATATTGATTGGAGCGAAAGCATCGCGGCCTATATAGCGACCAAGAGATCAAACCTGCCGGATTAATGTTGGAAAGGCAACCCTTTCTTCCATCACAGCTACAGCGCTTGCGCCGGGCAGCTGAATTGCCTGCTACTCGCCTTCTCGTGCCTACAACACCCCTTACTCCTTTCTTAACCCCTATCGAACCGCATCACATACTTGCGACAACATCAAGAGACAGCTTCCAGAGATGGCTCAAACCAGGAGAGGCCCCACAACAGTATGCGATCTCATTGAAGAATGGGCCCAGAAACAGCCTCACCATATTGCCGTCTCTTTTGGAGACCAGAGCATGACATACGCTGAGCTGGAAAATGCCACGACTTATATCGCCTGGATCTTACACGAGAGACAAGTCAGATCAGGAGACAAGGTTCCTGTTCTAGCGCAGAGAAGCCTCGAGATGGTCATCTGCTTTCTCGGCGTCATTAAAGCAGGGGCTTTGTACGTTCCCATTGATGTGGAATCCTGGAGCAGGGACCGCATTCGTTCGACGCTGGAACGAGTATCCCCTCGTATCATTCTGAACACAGGCGCGGAAAAGTTCCACGGCTATGACGAGATCTCGCTCAAGGAAATCAGGCGAGCTTTCAAACCGACCATGGAACATCGCTGGGAAAACGAGCTCGATAGGCCCTGGAAATGGATCAAGCCCAGTGATATCATGTTCATAATATTCACTTCAGGCACGACATCCACCCCCAAGGGGGTAATGATCCCACACAGCTCGGTCTTCAACTACGTGCAACAAAGCGGAGAAAAGACCCCATTCAACCTCAATGCGACTCCTGCGGATGTTGTCATCCTCATATTCTCTCCTGCCTTCGACGCCTGTACGGCCGTAATAGTATCCGCACTGTCTAATGGCGCTGAGGTGAAGATTGCCACTCCTGCAGATTTCTTGCATACGGCGACTCTTTGCACTGTCATGGCATGCACACCCTCGGTGCTGGCTACGATTCAAGATCCATCGAGCTATTCGAACCTGCGAGCCATCATGATCGGAGGCGAAGCAGCACCTGCTTCACTCGTTCGCAAGTGGGGAGAACACCTACCGAATACTCCCATGTACAACGTTTATGGTCCCACAGAGACAACATTTGCCTGCCTCGTGGCACGGCTGTATCCAGACAAGCCAATCACTTTGGGATATCCAATGTCAAACAGTTGCGTCAGATTGCTGGACGGAGACGTAGAGTCTCGATATGGAGAGATTTGTGTCTCTGGGCCGGGCCTGGCAAGGGGCTACTATGAGAATGAAGCCCTCACCGCGGAAAGGTTTGTCTACTGGGAGGGCGAAAGAATGTATCGAACCGGGGATTATGCACGAATGACAGAACACGGGCTGGAGTTTGCCGGGCGCAAAGACAGCGTTGTCAAGAACCGCGGCTTCCTGGTCAACCTTGACGGCCAAGTCATCCCCATGTTGAACAGCAGCCCAAATGTCATCTCAGCCACGGCCTTCATGCATCGAGGCCGCCTCGTGGCTTTCGTGACCCCCGAGACCGTTGATGGAATTGCTCTCCGCAAGAGCTTGATCAACAACTATGACTCATTCATCATACCGGACGTCATTCGCTCCGTGGAAACCCTACCGCTGAATGCGAATGACAAGATTGATAATCGGGCTTTGCAAGCACTGCTCGATATCGAGGATTCGCAGGTCCTCAGCGGCGGGCTAGTGCCAAAATTAACCGATCACGATACGAAGATGGACGTCTTGAAAGCCGCAATATCCTTTGCGATTTCCTTGCCACCTTCAGACATTCCGGACAGCAGCTCCTTTAGTGAATTGGGCGGAAACTCTTTAGCCGGGATCAAAGTCGTCTCATTCCTTCGTACAATGGGATTTCAACTTCGGCTCGGGTCATTGTTTGACCTCCCAAGTCTCTCTGCTATACAAGATGTCTTGGAAACACTTGGTGATGCAGTGGAAGAAGAGGAAAGCCTTGAGCAGGGTGTAGCTCCAAGCATAGCACCTATGACGTCGCTACAGACGAAGATGATACGGACGGGATTGAGACGTCCTGCCACGAGCTATATGCTGATGAAATTCTCGCTGCCTCATCACGACAAGGCATTCAGTGGAGGCATACTTCAATCGGCATGGCGGAGGGTGATTGAGCGGCATTCAATCTTTCGCACAGTCTTCAATCTCAAGGACCAGTTGCAACAAGTGCAGCCAACGCTCGCTCTCAGCTGGGTCAATGAAGAGACGACCCAAGACCAAGCAGAGAACATGCTCCAGATCTGCTCTCGGGAAATGCGCGACAAGATAAACTATGTGGAGCATGGAGACACGTTCACCCCCATCTCGGCATATCACTTGGTGACAGTTCCTGACGTGGCTTCCACATTCTTGGCTCTTGTGCATCACAGCCTGATCGATGGCTGGTCACTCAGTATTATGTTAGAAGAGCTCTGTTTAGCACTGGATGGGAAACAACTTCCGGAGCCTCCGCAATTTACGAATATTGCTCTTGCTCAATCTCGGCTGCAGCAAGATGCCCAGGGAAATGAGTTCTGGGAGAAGCTCCTAGAAGACGGCCTATCGCAGCCACTACTAAGACTTCCAAAGCCAAGGAAGGATACTGCGGTGGCAGATTGGTCTAGCAGTCTACAAGTCAGCCTTGGCTATGGGCCAAAGGAGATTGAGATCAAAGCACGCCTTCGAGGTGTTACACCAGCAACGGCGATATACACAGCCTGGGGCTTGGTCTTGTCGAACTATAGCTTTTCCGACAAGGTGGCATTTGGCGCCGTCTTTTCTGGAAGGAATATCGATGTGCTAGGAGCCGATCGAGTCGTTGGGCCGCTGCTCAACACATGCCCATTCCCCCTGGAGTTTAGAGAAGGGCAATCTGTGGCCGATGCGCTTTCGACAGTTCAGAGTCAGCTCCTGCAAATGCTCGAGTTCCAGTGGTGTGCAGATAACGGAATGACGAAATTACCAGCCGAAGATATTGCCAACACTTTCCAAACAGTCGTAGTCATAGAGTACGGTCTCCCGCCACTGCCACAGTCTTGCGAGACGCTTCCCGAGCCATGGACAATCGAACGGCAGGACATGATGGAATTTGGCATCACCTTGCTGCTTGAGGAGGCCAGCGACACCAACCTTCGAGCTCGTATCCTATACGATAACTCGCAGTATTCCGAGTGGAGCATCGCCGGTCTACTGAATCATTTTGATCATGCCCTCAGTGGGCTACTCGATTCTAATAACACGCTATTGCAGCATGTTCGGGACGCAATGGTCATCGGAGAAGAGCGAACCAATCTTTTGCAACAGCCAAAAGAGATAATCAGAAATCTTCCTGAATCCAATACGGTCAAAGATGCATTTGAGACCGCCGCAGCCAAGTGGCCGGACTTGGTAGCTTTGGAGTCGACCAAAGGTTCAATGACCTACCGACAGCTGGACGACGCTGCCAACAAGTTGGCCAATCACCTGAGGTCTGCCACAAGCCCTGGAGATGTCATTGGTATTCTCACAGATGGTTCACTCCACTGGATTGTGGCTATCCTTTCGGTTCTCAAAGCAGGCTGCATTTGCTGTCCCATTGATGTTAGCCTTCCCACAGCTCGGATCAACGTCATCACACAGCAAAGCGGTGCGACTTTTTTCATCGCGACGACTCGCGATTGTGTACAAGTGCTTCAGAACAATCAAGACAGCCGTGTTATTGTCTCGGAAGAAATTATTGCCTCTTGCAAGCCCCTAGCACATACACTAGAGACCCTGTCCAGACCAAATGACGTCGTTTATCTCGTCTTCACATCAGGAAGCACCGGTATTCCAAAGGGTAAAGCGTTCTGTCCCAGCGATATTCAGTACCATGAGTTCATCTGATGCTCACATTGTTCGTAATAGGCGTTCCTTTGCACAATCAGAGTCTGCTTGGGGTCATCAACCACGAGCCCAACCGTCTCTTCTCTGGCCCTGGACGCCGGCTGGGACAAGTCTATGCCCTGGGTGAGTTATCCTGTCGTCTATTGTATAATAGACATCAGAATATGATGATCAAATCCTCTGACAACAGTTGCCTGTTTTACAAATTAGGCTTTGATGTTGTACTAGTCGAGATATTCGGAACCCTTCTCTACGGGGGCACCTTGGTGCTGAAGGACCCCAGCGATCCTTTGGGCCACCTCAAGCGAGTAGATGCAATCTACTCAACTCCGTCGCTTCTCGTGGCATTATCTCCGAATGAGTACACAAATCTCGACACTATTGGGCTTGCTGGAGAGGCTGTCTCTCAGAGCCTTGCTGATGGCTGGTCACACAAGCGCCTATTCAACTTTTACGGCCCGAGCGAGGTGAGAGTTATTCCCTGGTCGATGAGTTGATGCGATCATTCATTGACTGACTGTTTGGTACCTTTGGTAGTGCGGGCCTATCTCAACGGGAACCGAGCTTCTACCTGGTCATCAAGTTACTATCGGCAAGCCCGTTCCGAATCTGGAGCTCTATATTTTAGACCATCACCAATGTCCAGTTCCCCTTGGAGTAACAGGAGAAATCTTCATTTCTGGAGAGCAAGTTACTCACGGCTACTGGAATTCGCCGTCGGAAACAAGAACGGCGTTTCTCCCGAACCCTTTCTCCGCTGGCAAGGTCATGTATAAAACAGGCGACCTAGGCTACTGGACCCAAGATATGAATGTGGTGTTTGTAGGAAGGGTTGACAGCCAGGTCAAGGTCCGAGGGTTCCGCGTCGAATTGGAAGAGGTAGAGCGCGCGATCATGATTGCGGATAGGAACATCCGGACTGCCGCTGCTATTGCCGACCGGAATCGCATTTTCGCTTTCGTAACACCAAGTACCGTGGACATTGATACAGTCCGACAAAAGGTCAAGGAACTACTCCCGTCCTACGCTTGTCCAGCGCGCATCGTGGCCTTGAAGACGTTGCCAAAATCCTCCAACCTCAAAATTGATCGTACAGCACTACATACCTTGGCTGCAGGAACCGACGATGAAGGGGACGATCCGTCAACGCCGACAGAAAAGAGGATTGCGGAAATCTGGAGCCGAGTCCTCAGCTCCCATACCAACACTCACAGGCGGAGAATCACTCGAGATGCCGATTTCTTGGCCATCGGTGGAAACTCTCTCTTGGCCATAAAGGCAGCTCGGTTAATCTCTGAATCCATGGGCCATCACGTTCCTGTGCCACTGCTCATCAGAGAAGCGATACTGTCAAACCTTGCACAGGCAATCGATCAATTTGCAGTTTGCGAGGAATCAGAAGATGGTACGCTATCTTTCAAGTCGTTTTTGTCTAGCCTACACGGTTGGACAAGCCTGACCGCGGCCCAAACACCATCGCCCCTGGAAGAGGAGCTATTTCTTTGGCAGACCACTTCCAACACTAAGTCACTCTTCAATACGGCATTTCAGTTCGTCATCGAGGGCAATATCAATGTCCATATGTTGAGAGACGCGTTCATCTCTGTTCTGCGGGAAGAGCCCATTCTTCGAGCCCGCTACGTTCTTGAGAAAGGGCTTCTGTACCGTTATATTAGTGACGAGATTGACCCACCGCTTGTTTTCATTGGCAACGCTCTAGATACCACCAAGCTACAGGCTTTGATCAACAAACCCTTTGATCTCGCCCGCCACCAACTCATCCGAACAATCATCTGGAAGCAAGATGATGGAAGTCCAATAGCAAAGACAACACTCTCGGTGATCACGCACCATATCATAACGGATAAGGCGTCTATGGCCGTTTTGCTTCAATCTGTCAGCAAAAAATATAGGTCGGCAGTCAATCCCGTCACCACCAATGGACATAATGCACGGGGCACTCCTGAGGGGTCCTACGTCGAATGGACGCAGTGGCTGTCAAAGGTCAGCGCGCAGCCCGCCACACCAGCGACTCTTGCCAAGAGAAAGTTTTGGCAGGGCCGCGTCAGAGAAATGGAAGCGGTTTCGCTACTGGATGAAAATGGACTTGGGACTCTTGGTCAAGATGTACCTTGCTACGAGTCCCTTTTTATCATGACTGGAGATGACTACAGCTTTTCGCAGCGTATGGCTCTTGCTGCGGCTGCAATCACTCTCTCTGCAGTATTCGGCAAGGACGATATCGTCTTCGGTATACCGTATATGAATCGAGACGAGCCTGGAACGGCGAACATGATGGGGCTTCTCCTCGACCGGCTTCCTGTGCACATTAAGTTCAACAAGAACAATATGTCGGACTCTGCTCGGCTGATCGATGACATTGCGTCAGAGATCTACGATTGTGTGCAGAACCAATTACCATATCTACAACTCTTAAGAATGGCCAAGGAACGAAGGCCTCTTTTTGACGTTGTGGTTATTTACCACTGGAAGTCGGATGCCCTGGAACATTCACTCCGATTGCCTGAGGCTCAAATATCAAGTCAGCGAATTCGAGCCCGGGGAGCCAAGTTCACTTTGCAGCTTGAGTTTACTGAGCAAGATGAAGGATTGCACTGTGGAATCGAGTATAATGCGCGTGCTCTTTCCGCGCCGCAGTTGGCAGCCATCGTGTCCTTCATCCCGAAGGTGATCAAGGGCCTCATGGCTGCCTCTTCACCTGCAAACATTCTATCATCCTTCAATATATTGAAGCATTGCAGTCCTTTAACTGTCATGCAAACTTACAGAAACAAGTTAGGAAAGGTTCGAGAGGCCTTTTCTGAAGCACTCGGGTTGCACCCAGCGGAGATTGCCCCAAGCACAACTTTGTACGATCTGGGGGGCACTTCTGTAACGGCACTTCGAGTTGCATATCTGCTGAAAAAGATGGGATTGACTGGAAACTTGAAAGATATTCTTGCATCGCCTTCCGTCGGAGACATTGCTTGGATGTTCTCATGATGTTGCGGCAGATTATATGGGTTCAATATTTTGTCAGTCTAGTTTCCCCAGTGCATACGTCTATTCAACAGCCATGGCAGATACTATGGTAACAATTGTATGGAATGTACCAGATTGTTAGTCTTCTCTTCGATGAATGACTGTGCGACTAAAGCTGAGTGAAGCTGCGCGGTAAGCGGTTCTCGCCTTCATTATAGGGTTGGCCAGCTTCGTTCCGGGCCATATCGTTGACCCACTGTTCGTTCCCAAGCAGTTCTAGCTTTGGCCCTTTCTGTGCCCATTTAGACGTCAGATAATACCAAGACAAGGCGTTGCCGACTGTGCCAACTTCGTCGCTAACGCCGGTCTTTGCAGCTTGCGACATTCGTTCATGTAGCTTGGTATCGGTAAACAGCTCCATCAAATGGCCAGCGACAGCCCTTGAGTCGCCCGGTTGGACAAGGAATCCGTTGATCTTGTCTTTGACTTGAAGGGGAATTCCCCCTGCAAATGAAGCGATCACAGGGCGGCCAGCGTGGAGCGCCTCGGAAACTTTGACTTCGAACCCTTCATACGTCGACAGTTGAAGGACGACATGAGCATTTGCCATGAGGCAGTTCAACAGCTGGTCGCAAGGGTCCAAGCGCATGACACTCACGTCGGCCAAGAGGTGAGGATATTCGGTTTCCAACTGGGTCATGACCTGGTCATAGATGGTCGTGCCATCGGGGTCATCTACGGAAGCGTTTCCACAACTTGTATGTGAGAGAGCTATCAGCACATGCGACAAGGAAAGACAGAAAGAAAAACATACATGACAAGCTGAGGGGCACTGATGCCTCCGTGCTTTTCAAGCTGCTCACGGAAGCAGGCATAGGCGTCAATGACTGTCGGCAGCCCCTTGGCAGGATCGAACCGGGACACCTGGATAATGTATTTCCCTAAGGTAGGTGGCGTTAGCGAAAGATCCATGAGACAAAATGGCTGTCTCTCCAGCGCCGCGTTGGCTCACTTCTTGGCCATTGTAGCTCTGTCATTCTCTCCGAGCGGCACTTGATGTTGTAAAGGTGACCGTAGTATCCTGTATCCCAAATCTCCATCGGCTTATTCAACCCATCCAACCTGTTTCGAGAATCAGCAAATGTTATACTGCACAGAGGGAATCTTGCATACCAATCCGTTGTCGCGGGCATATACAGCACCTTCTCCCGCGGCACATTATGTGGCACAAATGAAGGCATTGGGTGGCTGATGAAGAGGTCCGCGTGCTTGATGTTCTGCCAGAGGAAGTCCCAAACGTCTGCCTGAGGAGAATTGGGATCTTTGATAAGGTCTGTCCGGATCTGGATATGTGATCGATAAAAGACTGGCCGAGATGGCGTGAGCTTCTTGATGAGCGGAATGAGGCACGGCATCTGAGGGTCGTCGATCTATGACAAGGTGAGCAAAGACGTAACACATGGTATATGAACGACTCACAATGACAATGTCGGCGCCGCCTTTTTCTGGTCGGCATAATGGCCCTCCCTCAGAGAACCAATATCGATCTCCGTTGTCGGTAATCCATTCGCGTATGGAACTCTTTTCCTCTTCTGAAATGAACTGATCCTTGGGGCTCACCCCTTGAAGAGTATTGTGGATGTTCTTGGTGACGCGAAACACGCCCGGGTGAGGCTTAGGCACTGTTGTGCATCAGTTCGGATCTGAACATGCAGGATAAAGTTGTTTGGCGGCATGGTAACTTACCGTACCAGCGCAGATCGACTCCCATGACGCGAGAGAATCTGACGAGAGCATGCCTCATCAAAGCGACGCCTCCACCTTGGGGAGTGCTACTGAAGAACGCAATCTTGGTCTTGTGCTTCCGTAGAGTCTTTGCATAATGCATGACTGTCTCCCAAGACGCAAAACTGCAGGTAGTCTTGTAATCCTCGAGAGAGATGAGCGGCGCCTGGAACGATGCATCGACTTCGACAATGCCGCGCCACGCGACTTGTAGAAGAGGAGCCAGTGAAGGGCCAAAATTCCTGCAGTGAGTCAGTTTCTGCGTTCTAACATGAAAGATGAGTTGCGCATCATCGCTCACATAATGCATTTTCTCGCCATTGAATCGGCTTGTTCGTCCACCCGCTTGCTAAGCCAGAGGGCTATCCTCTCTGTATGCTCATGAGGTTGCTGAATGACGATGGGGACGATATCCAACTCCAGCCAGAGGCGCGAGCAGAGAGACGGGCTTGTTGTTTTCAGAGAACTGGGAAGTCCAGCGCCAACAGCCTTGGTGAAGGTTCTGTGCTCATACCCTCTGATCGACTTGATGATGTACTCGGCGAGATAATCCTGACCATTGCTGCCTTCCGGGGCGGTGACGGTTTGAATCGTAAAATCGATGAGATACGTCGCATCGCGGATTGCGAGAGAAACCAGATACGTCTTGTATCCGGATAGCACGGCTGAGATACCGATAAAGATGGGCTACGGCGTACATCAGACAATAGAACGTGATGACTTGATGATTGAATGATCAAGAAATGAGAAGCTCAGAGAGATATGTCACGTCGGTTTCATCCCGAACAAACGAGGTGCAGACACAAACGGGAGGACAGTAGGACTGACTGTTAGAGCAAGGCCGAAGCATCCTTCTGCCTGGACGACCTTTTCGGCTTGAGATTTCCGGCGAAGAGAGGCGCTGACGTGGAATTCCTGACAAGGGTCTTTGGTCATTTTGAAGAATGATGATTGACTACCTCTATTTGAAGAATGCGCAACCAGCTCTGAAGCTGCTCCTTAGGGGGGAAAAAAAGTCTCAGTTTGAGGTGTTGCAATCGGCACAAGACAAATATTTCAGTAAGATTAACCAGAACTGCGTGCGCAACTGAAGCGCAGTGGTCGGTAGCCAGAGTGTTTGCTCCCTTTTATTCATCGTCATCTTCAACCAATCTTCGAGACTAACGATCCTGGGGCGTTAGTTGATGAGGTGGCGTGGTGCCACATATTGGCATTTTGGTGGTACGATGAGATCGCGCAGCGCTAGAATCTCAAAGTGGCATCATTATGACATCAAATGCTCGTTCCCGGGGCCGACTATTGGCATAATCAGAACAATGTGGAAGTGTGAGATTGAGACTGAGAAATTGTAGCCGACTTCAAATTTGCCGGCTCACACCACAATAGATGGCTTCAAACATACATAATTCGCCGGGCCTCACTGCAGTGTCTGTCTTGACAATCACGATGCAGGTACGGAAACATGGCTGTGGTAGCTGTGATAAAATTATACTATGGTACGGGAGAAGCTCAGGGCCGAAAGGAACGCAATCGTGCATATGCAACATACGATACGAATAACATGATGTCAGATGGTCGGCACCTCCCTGTCATGGCCAATAAGTGGTTATTGTATGTATCAGCTGGCTCAGACATCTCATATAGCAAAGAGAAGGCGAGCATATTACTCGTAAAGTCACCTGTTGATCTCGAATCTGCTTCTCTGTCTCAAGTTACCGTCGCGCCCGGGGAGTATCAATTGAAGCTGCTTCCAAGCCATGCCAGAGTCACGGTTAAGATACCGCGTACCGCCAGCACTTGTTCAGGTTCGTCCAACAAGGAACAATAGTAGCAGCCTCTTCCACCAGCGTTGCCGCATCGGGTTCGATATTTCCTTCTATGCTGCGAAACAAGCCTGCTAGTCATGCAATCAGTAGAATTCGCCCCTGGGGATCGCAGTTGAAGTTAGTAATCACTTGGTTATTTATATAAGATGTGGGAGCTCATGATACAGTAGAATTAGCGACTCATGGTTCTTTGTGACATGCAAGCTGATATTATAAGGAATAGCTATCCTGTGTCAGCCCTTACTTACATGGTGTGTCAAAACGCTCCATGCTAGATATGCATGTGAGACACTATTCACTGGGTGTTATGAGAACGGTATATGAAGACTCATAAAAGAAAGAACAAATCGTTGATGAATGGTAGGTAGAAAGGTTCGACTCACTTACTCTCCAAGTCATAGCAGTAACAGCTACCGATTTGCTAGGATGCTGGACAGGCAGTTAACAAATTTGTAGCGCTGGATAGCCACTTTCCATCCACTCTTGACCCGTGGAGCTATAGTCTCCTTTCCTTGCAGTTGAAGGGCCATGATTGCTGGGCAACGTTATCAGCAACGTAGTAAGTACAATGTCTGCAAAGATTCTGGATTAATATAACAAACCGCGTTGAAACGACTGTCAATGCATTTGTGCATTTGAAACAGTAGTATCAAAGCCAGGTTCAGAAGTGACAGCGGTGGTTATGATTTATTTCCTTTGAACTGTTGCTGATAATTGCAAGTGAAACAAACATCTAGACTTTATGCATCCTTCAGAAGGGATGGGCAACTCCACCCCCAGTAGGAAAGTATTCTGAGACCAGCCTCTGTTCGTCTCCGAGAGAAAGATTATATCATGCACGCCTGGTTCATCATTCTGTCCCGTAAGGTACCTACAATTTCTCCTTGTACCTACTCTATACCTTACCCAGCGACCCAGGCAGATTGACTCTGACCCCAGCCGCGAAAGTGATAAGCTAAGTTGATCGTGTGGCTGCGCCTGTTTCCAAATCCCACTGAGGCTTAAACTGGGCAAATATACATACATACTTACTATTGACGTTAACGATGGCATCGAGAAACGTCCGTGAGCAAGATATTCCATCTGCATCAGCTTTCAGCATCTGCTAGACGCTGGGGCGCTATGATATGCAGGGAAACGGCTAGCCAGATCAATTACCGAGGGCAGCTTCGTTGGTTAAGCGCCCGGGGAGAGCGGAGTGACAATCTCAGATCAACCCGCTCCTCCAGATCAAGCGCCTCGCCAATTGCATGACACGGTCGCCCCACGAGCCACCATATCACCTTCACAGCATACCAAAGTACTGTAGGTTTCACGCTCGATCCACATGCGGCAGAGAAGATCTGCGGATATATGCCCATTTAGAGCAGCTCAGATATTGGGACCATATGCAGCCTTTTCAACGTCTCGCCTATAGAAGCTGCATAATTGTTAATAGAAAATAAACGCTGACACTGGAGGATGGGGTATTGAACTGCATCAGTCATTACTGGTTAATATGGACATATATATCTATGTACCTGTTTATGTATATCTATATATATACGCGGGCTCTTTCATCGCCACATCTGCTCTTCTTTGTCAAAAAAAAAAAAAAAAGGAAACCTTCTAGCTCTCCCATATCATCTTGTGTGCCCTGAGTCTGAGCACTGGCATTACTGAAGATGGTTTCGGTTTTCGCCTCAGCGAAGGCTCTTCCGGTTCTGGCTGCCAGCGCTCTTGCTGCCGCGAGCTATCCCCCTATCCCCGCTGACTTGACGACTCCGGTACAGCAACGTATTGCTGTCAATGGACCCAACAGTATGTTATCCCCCATGATTCTCAGATGAGGTGTGTTATTCTAAGATGGTTGTCAACAGGCGTTTCCATCGGCTGGAACACATATCAACAACTCAGCCAACCGTGTGTTGCCTATGGCACCTCCGCCACATCCTTAACGCAGCAAGCCTGCTCTCAGAGCTCTGTTACATACCAGACTTCGCGCACTTGGTCAAACGCGGTGACTCTCAGCAACCTATCGCCAGCAACAACATACTACTACAAGATTGTCTCGACCAACTCAAGCGTTGATCACTTTCTGAGTCCCCGCCTTGCCGGAGATAAAACGCCATTCTCCATCAACGCCATCATCGATTTGGGTGTGGTAGGCCCCGATGGCTACACTATCCAGAATGACCAGACAAAGCGCGATACTATCCCGACTATCGACCCTTCATTGAACCATACCACCATCCAACGGTTAGCAGAGACGGTCAATGATTATGAATTCGTCATCCATCCCGGTGACCTCGCTTATGCTGATGACTGGATCGAGACGCCCAAGAATATCTTTGATGGAACGAATGCATACCAAGCAATCCTCGAGCAATTCTACGCTCAGCTTGCTCCCATCTCTAGCCGCAAGGCCTACATGGCAAGCCCAGGTAATCATGAAGCTGCTTGCCAGGAAATTCCTCACACAACTGGACTCTGTGACGCTGGACAGCGCAATTTCAGGTACGTTCATGCCCTTGGGCCTCCTCTGGTGAAGGTTGGGCTGTTAACGATTCCGTGGCAGTGACTTTGTTAACCGATTTGGCCGTACAATGCCCACCGTGTTCACCTCCACGTCGGCAAATAACACGGCAAAGGTCAATGCGAACAAGGCGCAGCAGCTTGCTAACCCTCCCTTCTGGTTCTCTTTTGAGTATGGAATGGCACATGTTGTCATGATTGACACTGAGACGGATTTCGCGGATGCTCCAGACGGACCGGACGGTTCCGAGGGCCTCAACGGCGGACCTTTTGGCGCTCCCGACCAGCAGCTCCAATTCTTCGAGGCGGATCTCGCTTCCGTTGACCGTGCCGTCACACCCTGGCTCATTGTTGCCGGGCATCGACCTTGGTACACCACTGGAGGCACCGGCTGTGCACCTTGCCAGGCGGCCTTCGAAGGGCTCTTCTACAAGTATGGCGTCGACTTGGGAGTCTTTGGCCATGTTCACAACTCCCAGAGGTTTTTCCCTGTTTACAATGGCACGGCTGATGCCGCTGGCATGACAGACCCTAAGGCACCAATGTATATCGTCGCTGGCGGCGCGGGTAACATTGAGGGCCTGTCCGACGTTGGCTCCAAGCCGTCGTACACCGCATTCGCCTACGCAAACGATTTCAGCTATGCGACGATTAGGTTTCTGGACGAACAAAATTTGCAAGTTGACTTTTACCAGTCATCCACCGGAAACCTTTTGGATAGCTCCAAGCTCTTCAAGTCCCATGATCAGCAATTCCTTGTGCAATAGAGTCCGCTGTTTCATACATCAGCTAGACAATAGCCAGGAGAAGGGCCAATCGCATCTACCATTCATAGGATCAAGCCCTACTGCTACTGCTCCAACAACTCAGCGTCACAAGTTTTCTTGTTCGACATAGGAGCTTGATGCGGTTTGACATATCTGATCTACTCTAACTCCTATTAGGCAGCATACATAAAAGCTTGGTCTTATACTAGAATAATTTAGCGATAGTGGCAGAGAGTGGAGTCTATTATCTACTGCTATCAACCGCAATAATAGAAGAATTCATTTGCTAGGATGCCTTGGATCAGTAACATGGGGATAGATGTCACGAATAAGCCCAGCATGAACAATAGTAGCAGAGAGTAGAACCTGGTATCTGATGATAGCAACATCAACATTGGGGGAATTTATTTACTAGGATGCCTCGGATCAGTGGTATTTACACAAGCCCAGCGATTGCGACAGGTGATTACAGATCAGCTTGTTGACGAAAGCCTCTGAGAGTAGTGATAGTAATAGCACGTCAATCCATTTGTCCATGTACATAGAGCAACAAACACTTCGCCAATGATGTAAATCAGTTTCATGCCTTTCCTATGATAATACGAAACGTCACCGCCAACATCGTGGAACAGCATACTGCGTGCCTTGGTGAACACCAAAATGACTCAACTCACATCGTTCACTGACTCTCAGGTACCCTGCCCGCAGATGCTGCTTCTCACCGTCCATGAACTTGGAATACAGACCCAGCACTTTCAAAAGATTGACATATCCTAGTTTGAGCATGAAATATCGGTGCAACGACGCGGAATCGCTCTAGTAACTCTTACAATTACTGACGCAACCTAGCGCTAGAACTACTGGAGCTCAACCCTTTTGGCGCTGTGCTCTTCATATGAGACGAGTCTCGCGATCCGGATTTGCTGAGTAAGTGGAATTGAAAGATATCTTGCGCGTGCCAGTGGCAGCAGTAAGTCATCGCAGTCACTGCTCCGGAATCCTTACTATGTTGTTGCGATTGCAATGTACGAAGAGGTAGCTTCGATTGAGCTTGCTTCTATCGACGCCGTGGCCAACCAGTTGGTGGAACATCAGCCGTTCAAACCGCATATCCGCCCTCAAACCAAACTTCGGAGGCATCTATACCCATGTGAACAGGTCCATAGTTCAATGGCGAATCGGACGCTGAAGAGTGCAAGCAACCCCGATTTGCTGGAAAATAGGCTTTGGCATCAGCGATTCATGGCTGGAGATGTAAGTAGTAATCATTGAAGCAAGCGGTGTATAAATTCAGCTGACGAGAGTTCAGACATTGCAAGTAGTCGACCTATTTTTGGTCTCTTACATGCATCAATTGGACCAAACGGTCTATCTAACAACATTGCTATGCTCTCGACCTCATCTCAGAGCGTGGTGGAAGAATTTGACCAGCCGAGATTCGTTTAAGCGATTCTTCAGCGACCTGAAAACTTATGAGTACCAACATGAGGCATCATTTCATCAAGGATTATGAGCTCAGCGCCCTTTCTTGGACTAATGCAGCCCTCTGCTCGCTAGAGACGTTTTGGGCGCTCTTGAGACTGTCCTGGCCGCCGGTGAATACGCCGTAGCAAAGGCTCAACGCTGTAACAGACTTGGGGAGATGGGGAGGGTGGGGGAGGGGGGGGCTGCTCTGTCCACGCCGAAATACACCAACACCGAAGGGCTCTAACCAGAGTATTGTGCGATGATTCGTACATGAAACTAAGCTTGAGTAAGGAATGACCGTTTAGCATACATTGGCAACTAACTTGACGGTTGTCCTTTCCTAAAGTGAACAACGGTTGAACCTCGAATCTAAGATGGGTGTGACTGGCCCAACCGACCAACTTCTGCCAGGTGGGGGACAGTGCTCAACCCCACAGTGCAAAGCATCGGGACATCGTTATTCCTGGGCTACCAAATCAAGAGTTCCTCTTCGCTCGTGTTATGCATCTGATCCATCTCCTACTTCGGAAATGTAGGTCGATACACGCGGGATGGGGAGAACATAACCATCATCCCGACATAACTCCGTGCCTCGTCCTTTCTATCAATGGAGACCCAAAGTCCAGCGCCCCTGGCATTGCCCAAGCCATTGGGCTTCGCCGATCAAGCATGCAAAGAATGCCGACGGAGGAAGTCAAAATGCAACAAGGGAATACCCACGTGTAACATGTGCCTGAGATACAGAAGGCACTGTCTATACGAAAAACACTCTCGAACTCCATTGACCAGGAGGTGAGCATCGATACGACATAAGCTTGTAGTGAGATGCCGTTTCAGTCTAATTCTCGTCGGTAGACACCTTACAGAAGTAGAAGAAAGACTAGAGCAGGCTGAGGCTTTGATCCGACAACTGCGAGCGGCTCTTCCTCAACATACTATTCTCAGCGAAGGATCGAACAATACCCCTGCCTCACCCAGCGAGATCTCTCATGATGGCACGCTAGCTCACAACAAGCGACAGCCAAGATTGACCTCAGAGGAGGCGGGGACTTCTTCACGTCCTAGACAATCCATCTGTAGTGAGCTGTCTGAGGATATGCCGCATACCCAACATGCATTGGCTTCAGCTATTGCCGAGGGGTTGGTATCTGATGAGACTCTTCTCGCAGGCACTCAAACACGAGAATCTCATGAGGATGCATCATCGCAGCAAGATCTAAGGGGAGCGGACCACTCAGAGAGTTTCGATCACCCTCAACACGTTGATTTTGAAAGCCCTCCATCAACAGGCGAATTCGGTTGGAACGAACACGAGCCTGTCGGACAAAATTCTCCTGGAGTGTCCATTGCGAGCGACTTGAACGATACAAGGCAGATTCTCGATGGCATGGCATCCTTGACGGTCTCCGAACAGCGTAGTGGCTACCTTGGCATTGCTTCAGGTGCGGCTTTCTTACGCCTCCTAGAGCCCGTAGGGTCCAGGACTGCCCAAGGCCACGCGCATGTTGAGACGGATGCCAGTATTTCCATTATCACACTTCCCAACTTAAACAGACACATCGCCGACTCGATGATCGATGCATACTTCAGGATTTACCACGTCAGTTACCCCATCGTTCACGAACCAACATTCCGAGCCCAGTACTCGGAGGTCATTCCAAGGCCCAACGGCCGATCTTGGTATATCCTGGCATATGTTATGGCGGCTCTTGGAGTGTATACGACTGCGACTACTCTGAACAATCTGGATCTGGATATCTTCCATCACACCAAGTCACTACTGTCCTTCGACGTGCTTGAAGTCGGTAGCTTAACAATGGTTCAGGCTCTGACGTTGATCTCGAATTATCAACAGAAGAGAGACAAGCCCAATGCCGCCTATAGTTACTCCGGATTGGCTGCGAGAATGGCCATGGCGCTTGGATTACACAAAGACTTCCAGGGATGGAAGATTTCCCCTCTAAGCATGGAAATTCGACGGAGAGTCTGGTGGACGCTGAGCATTTTTGACATTGGGGCTACCATAACATTCGGTCGACCACAGGTGTGCCCATTCAACGGTGTTGACATATCGTTGCCCATGAACGTCCACGATAAGGTAATAGGATTCTCAGTCTTTCTATACGTTATGGCTAACATCCACAGGATCTCACGGCTATGTCTGCTACTTTCCCCCCCGATCCACACGAGATCTCCGTTTACACGGCGGTCCGGACGCAGGCAAGGTTTCACATCGCCACCAATCCGATATATATTCGCATCATTTCCAAGCCTTTGCCTACCGCTCGGGAACTGCTTCTACTAGAGGACCAGTGCCTGGGACCATGGATGGAAAACACGCCATCATATTTCTCAGCAACAGTCTCTGTACCGCCCAAGCATGTATTTTCTCATTCTGTCATGCAATGGAGGTGGCGAAACTTCCGCATGATCATGTACCGGCCTTTCGTCATCCGGCGAGCGTTGCTTGCGCGCAGCGGCCGCCGAGATAACTCGAGTTCAGAGTCGCTTCAAGCCTACGAGCGATGCCTCAATGATGCAAAAGAGACCATATTATCCATTAGTGAGTTTTGGGCCACGAACGATCATATTCGTCTCTTTGCGTGGTATGCGTTGTAGGTTATCGCGGCGACCAAAATCTATCAGACGCAGTCCACTAAAACGTGCGCAGATATTTCCTTTTTCAAGCAGCTCTGGTCCCCTGCATCTGTCTCCAAAACGACCCTTCCTCTCCGAAAGCGCCTGACTGGCGCAATCAAATCGTCACCTCTCTCAAAGTCATGGTGGCACTGGTGCCTGTCAATCCAAGCGCCCGGAGATGCCATCAAGTCATTGCAAGTCTCTGCAGGGCGCATGTGAACTCTTCGACACCCCTTCCAGACGATGCCAGCCTCGAAGCTGCGTCGATGCTGCAACCAGAGAGTGTCTTTGGCGTTCACGATGAGGCATTTCGCCACACATCTGACGCCGACGGTGACAGGCCAATGATGTCTATGGATAACTCCCATGATCACATGGACGCCGTCTTCTCCATGATGTGGCCTAATGCGCTATTTGACACTGCAGCCAAGGAAAGTGATGATTCTTGGATGCATTTCTTAAATGGTGTCTAAATGCAATACGGCGTTTGATATATCGCAGCGGTGCTTTCTTCTTCTCTGAACCTTTATAGTAATATGTAGAGCTTCCCCCTGAGTGCCGTTCCTAAGCCATAAACACTGCGACTCGGGTATAAACATACTCTAGGCTGTATTCTCTTTCGTGTGGGGCTTTTTACCCTTGAAAGTTCAGAATTCTAAGAGTTTGTTTCTATGCTTTCTATCATCACATTGTATCTGCCCAGGCTTTTGGACATAATGAACTCGCCATTCACCAGATCGTTTGTCCTCGCTCGATGGAGTGCTTTCTCCATCGTTGTCTCAATTCCAGCGGCTAGATGCCGAAACGCGACTCGTTTACAGGCCAGTTCAGGCTCGACATAGACAAACCACTTCTCATCCACGAGATTTGCAATCTCATCCCATGGCGGCTCATCGCAGAGAAGATAATTTCCTTCCAGGATGCAAATATCCGCATCCACCTCTATGAGCAATCCATCTGATACTGGATCCTTGATTGCATGGTCAAAAGTAGGCGCAAGAATTGGCCGACGAGGCGCATCTGACTTGAGTTTTCGTATGAGGCTGACAGCTGCATGGCCGTCAAATGTCCATGGGGCTCCACGGCGTGCAAGGGCTTCTGAGGCATTGGGTAGTTTTCGTAGTGTGGCAAGCGGAAGGTGGAAACCGTCGGCAGATATGACGATAGCTTTGGGGTTGTTGCTTCTCGGGGACAAGGCGTTGATGATTTCAGCAACCTTGTTTGCGATTGTTGTTTTTCCGGAACCAGGAGGGCCTGCTACTGCGACAAGGAGCCGAGGCGGAGAGTGCGGGCTCCTGGTGCCGTTGGTGGTAGCCACGGTTGCCCTCAGTTCCTCCCACTTGCAGAGGAGGCAGTCTGCAAGCGATCTATACGTCTGGTCCATCTTGTGTTGTAGCTTGTACTACCAGGTAAGCCGCCGGATAAAAGGTGATATAGCTGATGCCGTATATAGCCCGTTTGTTTGCTCGAGGGTGCGGACACAGATGTCCGTACTCACTAGTTGAGAAACGCTCTGCTCCACTTCGCTCACGATCTGCCTGCTAGTAATGGCTTCACATGCCCCATCTCGATGGGCGACTGTCACCCGTCCCCACTCTTGGGGAAGATTGAATTGCCACACTGAGGTGTGCTTCTGCCACCACTCTATCACCCTTCCGTCAAGTACGAGTAATACCTAAGGTAATTACTCCGTAGGCAACCTTACCAGCAGAGGCCACCGTTATCAAAAAGTCCCGGACGACAGATTGGCAGGGACACATTGATCTTCATCTTACGTACCTACATTACCAGTTCGATCAACTAGCGCCACTTCTCAGCTGTTGCGGCTTGCACTCCTCGGCCGTGGAGTTTCCGATGAGGCGGTAAACAGATGTTACCCCATCAGCCCCAAGGTAAAGTGTCGAGAGCGTCTTGGCTGTTCCTTGAACTGCCATCTTCGTACAATGTGTTGAGTGTTGCTTGCTGCAATCTCCTCAATGTCGGGCATAATGTAGACTTGTACACTGAAGTATCAGTTATCACGTTCAACATCACGTCACGCCGCCCATACATCATTAGGGACTAGAGTGGTGGAAAAGCAGAAACCCTTCGAAGGAAAACAAATACTAGTTAACGGTATCACGAGCACCACCACTCACAAGGATGTTCCCCCTGGTGTTACTGATCTGGCATGCTGAGTTGTTCTGCCTTCCCCGTTCCGTCGTCCGACCCTATCTGACCTAAGCTGATCGTCAAGTGGAAGAATTGTTTCCTAGTTTGCTATATATTTCACGCCATACCACCGACGCATGAATAACTCCCATTTCGCAGCTGTCGAGGGCCGATCAGATACCTCCAAAGGCCTCTACTTGCCTGCATGACCTTGATCAAATCTCTGAAGTGGTCACGCCGAATATTAATCATCGCAAGTTGAATATGGTACTTATACTTCCACTGACTACCGATGGTAGCATTCAGTTGTCCACATCTCTCGGCTCCATCTTTTTCCATGCCTTCTCATACTCTTCAGGAGTCATATACTTGAACTCCGTCGGCCGTGTAATTGGCACAAATGGCTCTCCATGTTTCTCAAATTGTTCCAGCCGCTTCCTAGTCTCAGGCCGGCTGGCATTCACGCTGTAAATCTTGACTCGGTGGCAGCTGCTTGTGACATGCAGCCCCCAGTTCCAGCTATGGCGAACTTCCATTGGCTGCGTGTTCAGACTGTTGTCCCAGCAGCGGACGACGAGTTCTGTCCACCCTTCTTGATCGCATGGGACGGACGATGTCCAAGTTCTCCAGGCCCACTTGTGCTTTGGCGACATATTCTCGGTAGGTACGGAATACCAAGCCCAACCGCCATCCGAAGAGAGCTCGACACGTTCCGGCCAGCGGCCGCCGCCAGAGTAAGCCCACCCTGTAATGTTAACGTCCCGTAGACATTCCAGTGGAACACCATGATCCTTACCAGTGACTTCGATATGGCCATTGTGGACAACGACTTCCTTGTGCCACGGACTCATGATGGCGCTACTGACTGGCATCTCTTGGATTTGGATTCCCACTGCTCGTCCATTAGCCCAGAATAGTCTTCGTTTTGCAACCGAGTCACTCACACGTAGGCAATTGATTGTGCTTCCCGTACTGCTGCTGAAAGTACAGGTACTCTCTGCTCTGAACTGGGGCACGACTGGGGTGTTCGATAGCTTTGATGCGATAAAGCCACTTGACGCTTCTAGCCCCGATGTAACCCATGACCACTGCCCTCAGTGGAAATCCATGAATTTTGGGTAGTGGTTTACCGTTCATCTCCCAAGCAAGAATTACCTCATTTGCCCTCACCTTTGACCACGGGACAGAGACGACATAGTTCATACAGTCCCCGCCCTTGAAATATGTCTCTGCTCCGTAAAATTCAAGGTGTTTTGCCCCTTCTTTCAGGCCCCCGCAATGCTTGATGACCTTTTTGAGGCTCACACCAGTCCAGTTTGCTGTGCCGATTGCACCCTCTGCCCATGGAGCATTAATCATTTCGTCGCCTTCACCAGCATATTCAACAATTTGCTCAAGACGTCTGGTTCCGCTGCACTGAATTGTTACGAGCTTGGAAGTGCGTGGAAACAAGGCTTCGTTTTTGAGATCTTCCAGGGTGAGGACCGTGGGGGTGTTTACCAGCCCATCGAGACGAAGGTCGAATTCAACGACGTCAATGTCTGGAATTCCTCCACGGTTGCGCACGAAATGAAGTTCGTTGGGTGTGATGGTTTCTCTGGTGAGCAGGGTCTTTGGTGGCTCCCCATTGTAGGGAAACTGAAGGAGATGCAGCATGCCCGGATGTTTTTCCTGGGCGAAACGGTCAGCTAACAGTGCACTATTGTTTCATGGGAGTTGTCAGATGAAAATCACCTCAAGAACTGTCTTCCAGCTATCCTCAGGCACACTGGTGAGCGCCCCGCCAATTGCCTTGTGCCACAGCTTCCATCGAACACACTCGAGGACGGGGTTCGTCGCTGGGATTGGCGCAAGCTGGAACTCGGGGGGCGGGGGAAACTTGTACTGGGAGAATCGCTTGCGAGCTCTGGCCTTTTTCTCAGGGTAATCCTCCCACTCTACATAGCCTTTCCAGCCTTTTCTCTCTTCTTGAATGACAAATGAGGGGTCGTCGTCATTCGCGTCTGCGCGAAGCTCTGCTGAGTTTGTCACCGTTGGAGGCCGGGTATCAGTATGGATCTTGAGGTTGCTCTGGTTACGTAGACCTAAGCGGGCTGGATCCAACCCTTGCTCAAGACTCCATTCATTTGGAGGCTGTGTTGCAGTAATCAGTGCCTCCTCCCTTAATGCTCATGGATAGACTCACTTGGCGGCTAAGACGCTCCCTATGTTCAAAGTCCATTTCGGTATTGGTAATCAAGGGAATAGCCGATAAGGTGCTTCAATAAAAGCTTTGGAAGGAAAACTAATCCTCGGGAAACGACTACCGCTTTCCCTTGGTATACATATATATATATATATCTATAAGAGAGATAAGTAAAGCATCAGCTGGGAAGATTTCACCCTCTGCGGGGTCGTGTTGACGTTCTGATATTCATATCTATCTGCAAATGTTACGTCACTATGATTGAATGTAATGCGTACCCAGAGGCTATTTTATGATCCATCACGAAGTTCACGAGGTTCGCTTTGGTGATGTGTAATTGGAAGAGATATATTGCTAAGGCAGCTATCGCGGAGAGCATCGAGATGGGCAGTTTTGACTGGAGGGTTCTGTAAGAACTGGGTACGACGTAGCGATAGCATGTCAACCCTTACCCAAAGAGTCCAGGAGGCTTGTGGCTTCCGTTCTTGTTACAAATTGGGTAAGCGATGCGAACCGCCGACTCCAACCTGAGAAGGCGGGCAGAGAAAATAGTAGGGACCCAAAGTCGGTACGCGCAATATAGAATGTGAATAGTAAGAGCCTCTAAGGCATAGAAGCTAAAACTTGATACATATTCTCCTTTTCACGGTAGGTACCTAATCAGCCATGTTACTTACCAAAAGATTCCCTCTATCTGATATAGATCCCAGCTTACTAGCACACTGAAATAGAGCCACACGCCCTCGGCAGTTAGACCTCAAGACAAACAGCGGGTTACTCATGTAAAGACGTTGGGAGAGGTTACTAAGATTATTGTAGCAATATCTACACATCTTAACCTAAGGTTGCTAAAAGCGAGAAATCCAAAGTCTTTGGCTCCCTGTGTAGATGTCTCCAGGACAATCGTCCAAGTTTCAACTATATGTGATCGCTCTTCACTTGTCACCCCCTCTTCCAGATGGCCAGTATATCTAGAATCCAGGCAAACATTCCTCGGGCCCTCGCGGTAGCATTCAGAAGCCACAGATATCGTTTCACAAACGTCTCCACCTGATCGTAGTCGTGCGCATAACATTCCCAGATAGCCCGAGACTGGTCGACATCTTCCTTCAATAATGCGCCGCTTCCCTCACCGACTGCCTCAACAATATCTTGAGCCTTCAATCGCGGACCAATAACAAGTGCTCGACCAACTATTGATTCATCGGCGACTAGGCGTGTTGCTGCATCAATGACATCGGGGACAGACCCCGGCCCGGCAGAACCAGATAGGAGAAGAGCCTCTGCGACCGTCGGTAACATGCTGGTCTGCGCGGTATAGTATGGTGCAATCATATTCACACGTATACCCCTCATGGAAGCAGTCCCACGCAGTGAACGAAAGAGTCCCAGAACAGCATGTTTACTTGTGGTGTACTGACTTTGGCCTGGAAGCGGAATCAGTGATGCCACAGAGCCGACAAAGAGAAGGCATCGATCTGAGCGTTTGTTCCGTGGAAGATGATAAAGCGCAAGGTGTGAGGTGAAGATGACTCCTTTGACATTCACGCTGAGAGTCGCTGTGTTGGGCTCAGGGAGTTTGCCGTTCGCCAACTCGGGATTTTCAAATTCGGTCGCCTCCCCTGGAAGTAGAACCCCAGCATTGGGAACCACGACATCTATGGCCCCATGCGGACTTGCCGCGGTCGCGGTGTCGAACAGACTGACCTGAGATTCCCAGTCTGTGACGTCGCAATGCCGAAACTCGAAGACCGCCTTTGGGTATGCTGTTCGAAGGGAAGCCACAAGCTCTTCACCAGCAGTGTCGGCAACGTCTCCGATGACAATGTTGGCGCCATGAGATGCCCAATGGCGAACCATGTGTGCGCCCAAGCCATTAGCACCACCAGTGATGAGAATCGTCTTGCCCTTGAGGGTTGTTGGGTCATATGGATTGCTAACATCAACCGGCAGCGACTGCTTGATTGTCTGCCGGACGTCACCCATCTCGAGCGGGATTGACACGATTCCCCCCTGACACGTTAATAATCAGTTTTGTGACCGAGTACAGAATAATTCGAAGGTTACCTAGAGGCTACTGAAGATGTTGGGAGGGCAACATTGATCGGGCTTTGGTGAGATGCAGCTCTACCGTTAGCGCTTATAATAGGATCTAGAGCATCCAATCGTTATTGTCCTATAAATAAGTAGTGTGAGGGGCCCTGAAGAGGCAGGCTTGGCAGATTGAGACGTGAACACGACGGCGAATCATACCTATTATGGTGCGGATAGAGAGATAAGCTGAGTTGGAGAATGAGAATTGTGAACCATGCAGGCTGTGGAAGAAAAACACCAGACTAGCTTACACACTCTACCTACCTAGGTATACATATAGTGCCTACTACTCTTACCTACTATTACTACTAATGTTTATAAAAGAACTAGGTCTTCAATTTCTACTACTATCGCTATATATCTCTATTTTACTACAGTATGTTGAACAAATCCCAGTTGATATAACTATACCAGGTAGACTGAGGTATAGAAATCTAGCGTTAGATGAGGTCATTCCCGGGCTTTCTTTCCACGGCATGCCATGATCACAGAGCATACGATGTGGACTTCGGGAAACCAATAATACTACGGCTTTCGCCACCTGTCGATTTTCATAATTTTCATAAATTTACGTGCTGCACTGTGACCGGGCTCGGCGCCAATGTTGCAGAGACGCTGGAACGCTATGACAATTACGCCGCCACCTCTGCTTCTTCCGAGCTCGTCCGGGCTGACCCCGACTTCTCGCGGAGCTGTGGCTCAAAATTCTGATGCTCCTTCCGGGAGCTGATGAGACGGAATATCTCCGCATTGTGCGCCACGGTACAGATAAAGCAAACTATTACATTAGCTCCGGAGCTTGAACTTTATCCTCTCCTCCCAACCCTACCTACCGTTCTCGTTCTCACGTAGGTGATGCATCCACACTTCCGCTGTTGTGCCTTCATCACGCTGCTGTAGACGATTTGAAGCGCAGGTTTTGACATCACATGAAGACAAACCTCTACGGTAGTAAAGGAAGAGCATCCACAGAATTTTCCGAGTTTGCATCTCACTCAGCTTATTAAGTGAGGTACAGGACTTTATGACGACTTATGACAGTGGCATAGCTCTTAAGTGGACAGCAGCTCGGACATTCACGGACCAATCCTCAACCTACGGGTATGCCTCACCAGTAATGACATCTGACTATCTTAATTCTAAGCGGATTGTTTATTAAACCTTTAACTACAGAACAATCTCAACAGCAGTATAAGTTCATTTCTCTCGTTAATAATATGATAAGCCGGCCATTACGGTTGCTTGGTGGTCCGTATCCCAGCCCCGGATGTATACCGCTGTTGAGAAGATATAGGGAGCCAGCCATCCGTCTTCCTAAAACATGACTGCACCATGCACCATGCAGAGTGGAAGCACATTCTCTTTCGCTGACGAGTAGTACACGGTAATCACCTCTACCGAATCTCAATTTGACACTTGTTTCACCATGTCTGAGCACAGGCGCTGTATCTCTATCCAAACAACTGATGGAGTCATTCTGAAAGGGTGGTTCTTTCCAGTTCGTTCGGGAAAATATCCATGTGTGATCATGACGCATGGGGTACGTCGAGCAAACAGTCCACACTGGACAGACACTCACCCATGATGATGGCTAGTCATGTTGATTGACAGCATTGCGTGTAGGTTTCGGCGCTCAAGGAGCATTATCTTGACCAAATCGCAGTCGAGCTTCAAGAGGCGGGCTTCAACGTTCTCCTCTACGACAATCGTGGTTTTGGGGAAAGCGGCGGCCGCAGATATGATGTCGACCCTATCAGAGCGCAGGACGACTATGTCGACGCTTTTGACTACGCCGCAACTCTTCCTGAGGTTGACCCTGGGCGGATTGTAATTTGGGGGGTGAGCCTCTCCGGGGGAGTTGCCATATCTGCCGCGGCCATTGATCGTCGAGTCAAAGCGGTTATTGCTGTTGTGCCATATGTATCGGGAGAGCTTTTGATGGGGACAGGCCAGCCATTCCTCGATATGGCCCAAAGAGACCGTGCCAAAATCGTCAAGGGTGGAGAATGGCCTCTCACGGGTGTCGTTGCCTCATCTCTTGAAGAAGCAGAGGCCGGAACTGCTCCCGTTATACTCCGAGATGCAGTGAGTTATCGCTTCTTCGAAGGCGCCGCTGCCCACGGCGGCAATTGGGACAACAAGATCACCACAATGAGCCTCCTGAGATTACTACGATTTGAGCCTATCCGTTATATTCATCGAGTAGCCCCAACGCCGCTGCTTATGGTCGTGGGAGAAAAGGACGAAAGATTACTCTCGCCGCAATTGCAAGCATTTGGACTGGCACGAGAACCAAAGCAGCTCCATATCTTGAAGGGTGGTGATCATTTCAACCATTATCAAGGTGAAATAGGCGCGGAAAGCCTAAGAGCTCAGATTACATTTCTGAAGCAAAATGTTTAGCTCAGACACATAATACATGGCGCTTTTTCTGTTCTTGTTCCTTAATCTTCTTCCCTTCGTCTCTCATGTTATGAAGCCTTCTTGATTTATCTTTTATGGCTGCTTGTAAACAATTTTTTTGTACACATCTGTCTGTTAATGGTCACGTCTATGGTAGAATAAGTAACAACGTGATCTATTAGCTCTTGAACAGCGAAAAGGTAGAGAAGCCCTCGAAAGTTTACCACTATAAGCGGATTTGACTGCATCACTCTGACTACCTAAGGGAGAAACAGCTGGTGGATGATGTTTGGAAACTTCTGACAGCTTGCCCTCGAACAAGAGAATTGAATACTGGCAAGTGTTGTTTGCGTGCATCATACGAAGGGGCGTTTTAAGTATGTCTGTGAACTCGGTAAGAAAAGCGCTCCGCAACCGAGAATCTTGACAACTACGTTCATCATCTGCTAGCAGCTCAATGCACTGCGTTGCCTTTCTATACTTGACTGGGGGCCTCATATGCGAAACAAGCTGTTTCTTTTGCGCGCATCATTCGAAAGATAGTTGGTATTACAGAACTAAAATATTCTCGTCATTCTTGCATGTAGAGCTCTTGGTGCAATGCACATCCGTGACAAGGCTGGAGTCTGTCTTCGAGGCAGCCAAAAAGTGAAGCATTTGGCGAAGTCTTCAACGTCGCTCATTATGCAAGATGCGAGCCTTTGCGCCAAAGGAGTTATCGCCATGTTGGCACACATCGTCTCTTTGGGCCTTCATACTCTGCGTCACCTCAATCCTTGCTTCAAAATCTTCTCAATAGGGTTGAAGAGGTCGGATGTGTGTCGCATTTTGCTGCCGAATAGTAATGCGGCTTGTCGAACGCTAATAAGGCATATGCTGAGATCTATCTCCGATAGCGTGTCGCCAGCTATGTGGAGTTGACGGCAACCAAGGGATGATCCGGGATCTTTTGAAGGCTGGTCAATGCCGTTGCGGGATGACCTTCCTTTTCCAGCACGGTTATAGTCCAAAGGCTTGATATCCCCTCCTTCTAGATGGCGAGGCGTCGGCGGCAATGGCGCCATAGAGCACTCTGCCGCAGCATTTACTCAAAGGTTCCTCAAGGCTCGGACGTCGAGACACAATCAGCAGGTGCACAATCGTTGGTGCAATCTTAGTTCGCATGGCGCTGAGTGAAGTGTTTGATATGTGCCGTCCTCAAAGCGTTGACACAATCATACCTTACCAGATAGCCAAATGCTAGGTAATTTAAGCTTGTGGACTATCACCATTACCTTTTTACCTATAGTAGCTAGACAGCCAGGGCGAGCCGTGGCTGATGAATAACCTTAAAAGAATCTTAAAAGATAGAGGGACTATGCCTGGCCAGAACGGAACTTCAAAAGTGTGTCGCAATTTCACGAATGAAATAGCTTATCTGGAGGGACCACGCTGAAAGAGCTGTGCCTGAATTAGCTAGGCATGAGGCCGAGCTTCTATGGATTACATGGAATGTCATGAGCAAACATGCAAGCATGATTGCTATGTCGTACTCCTTTCCATATTGACACTAGATGCCAAGAGCTTGAAAATGCGATTGCCGTAATAAAATTACTATGATATTGGCTACGCCGAATCGCTCTAGGTCCCAATAGGCAGCTTGAATTTATGTTGTGAGAGACTACGCAGATCTTCGCCGAGGCTGCGAACGATAGACGCGGTGATAACGTCAGTTTGCCAAACAATTGCTCAAATCAAGGCCGCAGAATGGCTATATAAATCCGCTCTCCCCGCCATAAGAACAGATTATAACAGATCCAGCCACCAACTGGTCCTGCCTTCTTTCATAAAAACAAAAAAGAAAAGAAACATATTGACAATGGCCAGCCTTCGTCGCCTTGCCCTCTATCTCGGAGCCCTGCTCCCGGCTGTTCTGGCCGCTCCTGCTGTCAATTACAAGCTGCCTGAAGCTGTTCCCAACAAGTTCATTGTCACTCTCAAAGATGGTGCCTCTGTTGATACAGACTCTCACCTTACATGGGTGAAAGACCTTCACAGGCGCTCACTCGGCAAGCGCAGCACTGCTGGTGTTGAGAAGACGTACAACATCGACAGCTGGAATGCCTATGCTGGCGAGTTCGATGAAGAAACCGTTAAGCAGATCAAGGCGAATCCCGACGTAAGTATTTGCCCTACTGTTGGACGAGATGCCAATGTTCCATTGCGAAATTCTAATGAGCATACCAGGTTGCTTCCGTAGAGCCAGACTACATCATGTGGTTGTCTGACATTGTGGAAGACAAGCGTGCTTTGACCACTCAGACTGGCGCCCCCTGGGGACTCGGCACTGTCTCCCACCGCACACCCGGCTCAACTAGCTACATCTATGACACTTCGGCTGGTAGCGGAACATTCGCCTATGTTGTTGACTCTGGAATCAACATTGCTCACCAGCAATTCGGCGGACGTGCCAGCCTCGGCTACAACGCCGCTGGTGGAGATCATGTCGACACTCTCGGCCACGGCACGCACGTTTCCGGAACTATCGGTGGCTCTACCTATGGTGTTGCTAAGCAGGTAAGCTGCTTCATTATACTTCTTCCTTTGCAGTGCGGGCCTTGAGCACGCCGGGCTGACTCTGTAACGAAAGGCCAGCTTAATCTCCGTCAAGGTCTTCCAGGGCAACAGCGCCAGCACCTCGGTCATCCTTGACGGCTATAATTGGGCCGTGAACGACATTGTCTCCCGCAACCGCGCCAGCAAGTCTGCCATCAACATGTCTCTCGGTGGCCCGGCCTCTTCCACCTGGGCTACGGCGATCAATGCAGCCTTTAACAAGGGCGTCCTGACGATCGTGGCCGCCGGCAATGGTGACGCTCTTGGAAACCCTCAGCCTGTCTCCAGTACTTCTCCAGCCAATGTGCCCAACGCCATCACCGTCGCAGCCCTTGACATTAACTGGCGCACCGCTTCCTTCACCAATTATGGTGCTGGCGTTGACGTCTTCGCTCCTGGTGTCAACATCCTGTCTTCGTGGATCGGCTCTAACACTGCCACAAACACGATTAGCGGCACCTCCATGGCCACTCCTCACGTTGTCGGCCTCGCTCTTTACCTGCAGGCTCTTGAGGGCCTTAGCACCCCGACTGCTGTAACCAACCGCATCAAGGCCTTGGCTACTACTGGACGCGTCACCGGCAGTCTGAATGGCAGCCCCAACACTCTCATCTTCAACGGGAACAGTGCTTAAACAAGAGGCTCGGACAAAGACACTCGGGGTGTTTTCCGATGATTGTCAATACATGGTATGGAGGTTGCGCATTGGCGCGTCTTACAAGTTCAGAAGGTGCGATTGGAGAAGTATACATCATAGTCAGGCTTGATGGGATATGGAAGAAAGAAAAGTGAACCTGCAATACATTGTCTATCTTCCGTATATGCTAGGTGATTTGAGTGCTCCCCTCGGGGGCTGTGCGCGGATTGTGACTAATGTCCTGTTTGACACTGTATGGTACCTGAGTACCTAGGTAAGTTTAGATTGTGAAGAGTACCTAGGTAGATATATCTCGAACTGCAAATATCTTACTGATTCTAGAAAATTAGAATAGATTTGATATATATCATCAGCTAAGCTACGTCTTCATGCTTCTACTGCTTGTACGTGAAAGGTGCCCCTGTGTTAAAAACAAGAAGTAATCAGAAGGGAAGCTCTACAGATACTAAACAGATTTCGCAGCACTTAAACAAGTTACCTCATTTCATGCTGAGCATGTAGTGGAAAGCTCGCGCCGGCATAGTTACTACATACCTTAGCAAAGGGAGTGACTAGAGGTAGCTAACACTCTAACTTGGCTATTCCATATCTCAAATGAGACGCGAGTAAAAAAAGGTTCTCACACTCTATCCCATAAGATTCATAACATGGCAAGACGAGAGCGAGTTAACAAAACTAGCAAAAAATGGAGGTACTCTCCTCTACTCAAATATAGTAGAAGAAGTAACAGTAACAAAAGATATACCTAAGTCCTGATCTACTAGATACCTAGGAGCAGGCCACGCTACATCCTGAGTGCGAAGTCAGTCTGGAGTTTTCTTGCCTCAGTCAGTTTGGTTCTTCGTTTGCACTGTACCTATTTGGGCTGACGATTACATAATCCGCAAGACCACCTGGGATGTTCCAGCATTTGATCACCGCCTTCAATGATAACCTCGTCCACTTTTGTTACCACTGAAACAAGAATTTGCCAACTCAGCACACGGCTGCAGACTGGGCTCTCCCAGCATGGACCATCATTACACTCCAAGCCAGATTGCAGCCATAATCCTTTCTTGGATCGACCTTGAACTAGTCTCGTGCACCACGATCCAAGGGCTGTGGGCAGGATATGGCCACATCTGTGCCATTTCCGCTCGACCAACAGCGAATTGCGAGAGCAAGCGGTGGCAGAGCTTCTCCTCAGCTCAATCAGATGGCCAAGGCAGTATTATTCATCTAGTGCTGAAGATAGTCCATCCTCCAACGAAGGCTGGCGATGAAGGACATTTCCGAAAAATGTTCAGCTACGAGGTTGAGCAGTATTTCTACGACGAAGTTGCTCCTCGCCTTACCGGTGACATAGCAGTGGCGCAGTGCTTTGCGTCGACGAGGAGGATGCAGAAACAGGCGGCTGAACACGGTATCGATCACGTTATTGCCACTCTCATGGAGGATCTGAGGCTCGAATATCCAATTTCTGGCGAGAAACGAGCCATGCTTTCGAGCCAGCAAGTTTATGCAGCCTTGACATGGTTGGCCAAGTTTCATAGAAGCTCCTGGGCCTATAAACCCCAGGACCTGAGACATTTTCTTCTGCCTCCGCTTGAGGAAGCCTTGAGGCGTCAGAAGGATTCCTCTACCGGTGGGAAGGCCCTCTGGTTGAATGGCGGATACACTTATTTGGCTACCAGACGCCAAGAGTATCAGATGCTCGCGCAAGACAAGTCCTCAGAGTGGTCTGGTGCTTTTTGCACCACTGTGGACGGTGAACTATCTCTTGCTGAACAAGTTGCCGACTTTCTGACCCCACGTGGACGGCCTTTCGAGACATACATCCACGGAGACGTAAAGTCGGAAAATCTTTTCTCAACACAATCTGGCAATGATGTTGTGTTCTTCGACTTCCAATATGTGGGGATCGGATTAGGCGTTTGCGATCTGGCTAAGCTGTTCACTTGCTCCATCCCGATGAACATGCTCACGAACCACCAGCCCATACCCGCGGAAATGGAGATGGATGAGCGCGAAAAGAGGTTGCTTAGCCATTACTGGCGCATACTTTCGGACGGCCAACATGACCGCAAGATACCTTTGTATGAATGGAACGACTTCCTTCGACATTGGGAGACTGCGCTGGTAGACTGGTGTCGATTCCAGGCTTCGTGGGGGTTCTGGGGCAACACGGAATGGTTAGAAGCCCGGGTGAGATACATAATCAAGGACAATGCTTGGAGAGCCTGGCTGGCTTCAGAGGTTGGCACAGACAGTGTCGTAGGCAGCAGGCAGGAGGAGTGACTAAGACTTGAGCCTAGCGCACTCTCGCAGTCATAGTTTTAAGCAGTCACCGAATAGGACAATTTGTGAACGATTCATTTTATTCAGTCTGACTTTGATTATACCTGCTAGAAGAAGTTAAACGAAATGACGTACGAATCCGTTTGGTTTTGGCCCAATTTGAGGGCGGACTATATATATGTCGTCGCTTTTTCCCTTAGCCAACAGCTGTCCTTCAACCGCCACGATCCAGCACAGGATAGAGAGAAAAAACAGGCTATTCATCTGCATGACTGATCATTGTAAGTGAATGTAGCAGATTTTGCGAGTTAGACGTGGACTCATTAACGCTATTAGACTAAAGACGGGTGAAAAGGTGTTATTGAACTGTTTATTGAACTCATCATTTGCGATGCTTATCTATAGACTTTCTCCAGCTCCGGCGTGCTCCCTAGGGCGTGACGACGGCAAGTCTACCACGAACAGGCACATTTTCCTTTCTGCCCAATTCGGGAAAACCGGACACGTTGACTCCCTTGCGGAACAGCAGGCAATGAGTCGAACCGCCAAAGTGGAACATGCCCAGCTGTTCGCCTTTCTTGACATGCTGCCCTTCCTTGATAGTTATGTCGATGGAGCTAACCTCATCCATACCGATGGCAATGAAAGCCATCAAACCAATGGCCGGGTTGTCGGCGTCGATGAAGATGATGCCCCGGGTTGCCATCGAGGAGAGATAACCTTGGCCGACCGAAATGCCGCCGGTATCAATGTCCTTATTAGACGGATCGCCAACGCCTTCGAACAATGGCTCGCTAAAGTAGGTGCCTTCCTGGACAAATGCGCGTCGAATGGTTCCCGAGACAGGAGAGTGCCAGCGGTGATATGAGAGCGCAGATAAGAACGCTTGGTAGACCGTTGCACCGGCGAATTGCTGGGCCAGCGGATCGTGTCCAAGCATATCCAGGACGGAGTAAGGTTGGCCTTTGGCGAAGAAGCGATCTCGCAGTTGGGCATCTCGCTGAATGTTGAACACTTTGGACTCACATGCATTCGCAATGACAGAATCGTCTTCCGGGGATGCGACCGGCCTCGCTTTGTCATGAACCTTCCGAGTGAAGAAGTCTACGCGTCGTGTTGTCAGCGAGTTTTGCCGTGTAGCCCAACCTCTGCTCTAAATGGATACTTACCATCCCAGGACTTATATCCATGAAATTTAGCGGTTGGGTCGCAGACATACATCTCTTCAAATTTCATGGACGACTTGTATGGGGCATTGGCAACTTCCATAAGATCGCTTTGGCCGGTTTCGCCAAACCACCCAAGTTTGTGATCCCCCAAAGCCTCTGCTGATTCTGGAGACTGTAGCCGAAATGTCAGTATGCTTCGACTCAAGCGTACAGACTGTTATGGCTTCCTATTACCTCAAGATACTTCCCCCATTCGTTTAGAACCTTCTTGATAGCTTTGTTAACCTCTGGGTCCAAGAAGGCAGCATGGCCGCTAGATAGGGCAATGTTAGCAAACCATGGCTACTTGAGCTCGCAAACTTTCAGCGTTCTCGTTTACGCACCTCGCCGTACCCATGGGATAGTCGAGAATCGCACAAAAGGGCACCCCAACAACGCCAGCGCTTTCAGCTGCATCGGTCCATTCCGGAGCTCTGGTGACGATGTGATTGAGCACCTGGAGCATATGGTGATAGTCGCGGATCTGCTTGGTGCCCGTAGGATCGTGCCAGTACGGTCGCTTGTTGGGGATTTCTTCGAACATCTGAGTGAAGTACATGTAAATTCTCGAGTTACCTTCGATTAATTCCTTGAGGTCCTCCAGCGCTGGCGTCAGTTTTTCATCGGGGTGCTTGTCGACGTGGTCTGTCACGCGGCGAAGATATTCGCGATGAACACGGTGGTCAGCCGGAAGCCAAGCGCCAGGCCTAGATGAGATCAAAACGTGTGAGACTACGATGCTCCCCCTGATGCAAATGAGTAGACGGCGTGGAGATGCTGGCCATACTTGTAAACGCGCCACTGGCGTGGAATATCGTGGTGGTCACCGTGCTGCCAAACCATTGTGACGAGGTAAGTTGAAGATTGCTTGTATAAAGGCTGGAACAACGCACGAAGCCGAGCAGCAGAGTTCGTACACTCAAGCGAAATTTATTTGCGATGTATAGCTTTTATACTCTGTAGGTATACCAGAAGCAAGGTTCAGACAGCGCTTCAATTCATTCTGGTCTTACGACAGCAATGATGCAATCGTGATGTGAGAATTGCCCGATTATACATAGTTGAACCAAGCTCTATTACCGGAGCATCGAGATGATCAGCCGCTAGGTTGCCGAGTTCCCGCTTGCCCGCTAAATGGTATGGCCAAATGGAAGACATCTAGCGCCCGGCATGCGATTCTACTCCGAGGGTTGTCCGGGTTGGTCCCTGACAAGAGTCATGTTTTATAAACCGCCAATTTCGCTCACTACCGAACTACCGAACTACCTAAGCTCTCCAGTGCCAAACATGGTGTAGGCACTAGGTAGTGGAAGGAAACAGTCGAGATACCATCACTCTGTCCGTGGCGAATATATGTACCTAGCTACACCTTGTGGTGGCCGGTAATGGTATTAGGCACCTCTTTACTCTACCTTACCAGGCTTGCCAGGTTATCTATCGCTGCTTGATACAGCATGTCTGTATCTGACTTGCAAGCTGGGCCATGTCCACCAGTTACCTGCTTTAGGTACCGTAGACAGTAGCTTCAAGGCGGGCGCAAGGCCGGATTGTATACCTAGCGTAACCCTCCCCGCCTCGAACCTTGAGGTTTCCAAAGGTAAGGTTACCTTAGGCCGTGATTCAACTCGCTTAGCTTTCCAGTAAGCATGCTGAATGGGATACATCTTGCTAGCAAAAATTGCGGGTCAGCGTATCTTGTACCATGAGGATCCTGGCAACACAGGCGGGACGGGCTAGACTAAAATAAGATACCGTTTTCTCACCGCCTTTGGGCTAGATTTGACTTCAGTTGACGCGATCTCGTCTTTCCAGTTTGAAGATACCTCAAATTATAAGGCATTGCAGCTATCTTTTAAGTCACTATGAGCCAGATGTCAGCTATCGCGTCGTCGCAAGTCAGACAGTCGTCTGGTCCGGTAGTAAGATGGTCAGACCAGCAGACACTCTTCTTCCTCTCCCTGCTCCTCGAAGCCCGGCGGCAACACCTATTAGAATCAACAAAAACAAAATACCTGCGAGAAGGCCTTCAAACCCTCATTCCACGCATGGTTCAGCGCTTTCCAGGGCGTCCCTGGGAGATTAGAACGCTTGAAAATAAGTACCAATATTTGAAGAAGTACTGGAGGGTGTTTGCAGCTGCCGAGAAAATATCAGGAACCTCATACGATCCGGCGACGGGGAAGCTTTCAATGAGCGAGCAGAATGAAGGACTTGTTACCCAACGGTATGGCGCGATGGGGCGTCGAGTTGTATCGATCGGTCTTCTTGTTGGCGACGGGATAACTTTCGAGTCGTGGCTTGAAGTCTTTTCGAACGACCTGCCTGCCGGCGAGAACATTGTGGAAGCAGGCGACGAGGCTGCCTTTGCCAGAGACAGCCAAAACGCGGTCCTAGAAAATACTGTCAGTCAAGATGCTATAGTGGAAGAGGAGGTTTTGACTCAGTCTGTTGCCGTCACCGACGACGGCGAGGATGATATCACGGCAGCACCAGAAAGCAGCGATGACGATGATGCCGCTGGTCAGTCTTTTATATCGCCATCTCCGCCAGCGCTGCTGCCAGCAGCTCGGTCGTCTTCATCGCGGCCAACGCTTTCATCGCAGCCGTCTTCATCGCGGCCAACGCCTTCAACGCCGCGGGCGGCATCTGCTAGGCCATCGCAACGATCGTCAATAACGCCGTCGGCAGCGTTCAGGGCAAATAGTCTTGCAGCTAGGAAGAAGAAGGCGGCAAGGTCAGATGGGATATCTCAAAGCTTCCGTGAGCTCACTTCTGCGCTCATAGCACGTGACTCGCAGCCGCAGCAGCAGCAGGAGCACTATGTCACCCATAATCAACGCACTGTTGGGGCAGAAGACTTTGAAAAGGCAATCAGGGATTGCTTTGCATTTGCAGAAGGACGAGGGATGCTATTTGCAAGCCGTTTAGTGCAATGGATTCGTCAAGATCCGCTGAATCCATTAATATGGAATTCAATGCCATCTGATGAGGCAAAGGAGGCATGGGTGGCGATCAACTTTCCACCTAATTCTTGATGTTTTGATATTAGACTGTAGATAGCTTCAAAATACATATCGGCAGATGGATAATCTATTTTCCACCCTGATGCATTCACCTAGCCCTCCCTCATCAATGCCATTCAACGCCCAAGTCCCTAGATAGCTGCCTCAACCTAGCCATCATCAACACTATCGTTTTCATCGTTTTCATCATCTCCATCGCCGCCATCGCTATTTTCATCATCATCATCGCTGCTATCGCTATTTCCACTATCAAAATAGTCGGTATTGTCATCCTCCTCCGTCAGATGCTGCTGATAATGTCTCCAGGCCCGGGAGGCGACGTGCTCCTGCGTTCCAGGACCATCCAACGGCGGAAGAACCTCATCAGCATATTCCAGGGCCAAATCCATGAGATCTTGTTCGCGGTCTGTTAAGATAAGTCGCTCTTCCTCACGGTGTTGCTCTAATGTCCTGCCACCAAGCTTAACAAAGTTGAATAGGCCTGTGACCGCATATATAATACGGATCTGGTCCAAGAGCTTATACTCTGCGGCACTATGTCGTATTATTTTCCACTTCCGCTTGCATCTGCCGAACACATGCTCCACGATAGTCCGCTTTTGCGCGTGCCGTAAGTTGAAGAGCTCTTGTTGATTTTGAGGTCGTTGAGTTGCCGTTCCCCAGTCTTGCAGATGATAACGCACATTATGATTATAGGGAGTGAGGATGCCTCTCTGCAGTCCGAAGCCAGCATCGCCAAGCCAGAAGCGTCCTATCGGTATCACGAACGACCGGGTCAAGACCTGACGCAAAAGTGCTGAGTCGTTGATAGATCCTTCGGCACCGGCCAGGACATAACAGAATAGGCCATCAAAGGTGACAGCCGCAAATATATTCTGTGAGATATTATTCTTCCTTGACCAGAATCTTTGCTGCCTGGCTTTAGGGATGTGGGCCGGGATCAAGGTTCCATCAATAGCACCGATTGCGCCGTTAAAAGCCAGGAACTTAGGGTTGAGCTCGATAGCTGGCGATAGGTATGTTAATTCCGGCTGCCGAACGAAATGTGTATGCAAACGCCGCATAGGATCTTTCAGCTCATGAAATACTCAAGATACAGTGCTTTGGCTTATTCAAAATCGCAATGCCGCATTCCTCTGTGGCTCGCCATACGCACAGATCCACAGGAATACCATCACCTTTTGCTCAATAGTCTGCTGCCAGTTTCCCTTCACCCCGGCGTTGGTATGCAGCCACCAGCAGAGGTCGAAAAACACAGCCTTTCCCATGCGGAAAAGGGTAATAAATAACAAATCTGGGGAGCCTAGGAGCTGCATACAATATTCCTTTGAAGCCACGGATGTGCCTCGCGGGAGGCTTTCGGTATCATCACCCACAGCGGCCGGCAACAACCCCGCCCCCTCATCATCAATTTCCAAGATGCCGGGTAGGTCGTCAACAGGCTCAACCATCAGAGCGACAAAGGCTAATATAAAAATAGCTGTGTTGAGGTCGTTTCTCCGCCGGCGCTGGTTGCTGATGATCGTATTCAGCACCAGCCGACTGGTGCCCAGCACCTCGCCCGGCAGCAGATGCATTGTTGTTATGTGGCGTTGCAGACATTGGCCAGAACCTAACAAAACTAGCAAGACGGCGAGTACAGCTGCTGACACGAGTACAGACAGTTTTTTTATGTACTCGCTGTCTACGGAATTTGGCAGAATTGCTAGATAAGTCTTGGCAACCATGCCTATGGAGGGCAAGCCTGTGGCTTTTGGAGACCCCGGCTAGTCCGGTACATTGGTTGCAAGGGTCTGGCAGGGATCAAGCTCGGTGAGGTATTTCGTCTCGACTTTGTGCTGCAAATCCCTACTAATCTGGGAATAGCTACATTTTTGTGCACCGAGTAAGCAAGCTTACTGGAAAATTACGCGAGTTGAATCACGGCCTTAGGTAAAGATAGTAAGGCACCTGGGTCAGACAGCTGCTCCTGCTTCCCTTAAGGTGCCCTTGCGTCATTGCAGTAAGGAAAAAGGTACGCGTACACTAGTAGGTACCAGACAAGGTAGGCAAGTACCGCATCACTGTGAAAAGTCTAAATACAGCCACCGAGGATGCTACCACACACAGCAGCAGCTGGGACATTCCATGTGTGGTTCGTTGAACGGTTCTATTCGCAAGCAGCACATGAAGACGCCAAGTGGTCTTTGAGTTCGCTTTTTGGGCATCGCACAGAAGAGTATGTCCTGGCTTTGACAACGCTTTGCTCCTTCACTCGCTGGAGGAAATGGACAGACAGCAGATTTCTCGTACTTGTACTCTACGGCACCAAGAGACTTTTAGACTTTGCGTTAGTGCATCAGCGCCCTCCGCCCGGGACGATATAAATTATGTCGAGACCCCCCACGGCTGTCGGGAACCTCTACTGACCTGAAGGACCTTTGCGATTTTGGGCCCTATCTCTACGGATGTCGTCCCGTCCGCGCCCCGAAGAAAATGGCACCCGCTCAGCCGGCATCGTCCCGAGATATCCGGACCAGGCTACTCATTATTTCGGACACGCATGGTTTGCAGCTGCCTGTGAACATCGCGACGCCGGTCGATGTGGCCATTCATTGCGGCGACTTGACACAGCACTCCAAGCTGGATGAGTATCGAGCAGCCGTCCAGTTACTCGAGGGTATCAACGCTCCCCTCAAGATCATCATTGCTGGAAACCACGACTTTTCTCTTGATTTACCCGTTTTTGAGAAGAAGATCTCCGAAGCCGTCAACTTGGCGTCAGAGCCCATCAGCGATGCACTCATCAAACGGGAGTATGGCGGCTACGGGATGGCTCGAAACTTGCTCATGCAACTGAAAGCAAAGAACATATTGTTTCTGGACGAAGGAACACATCATTTGAACCTCACAAATGGTGCCAAACTACGTCTTTACGCAAGCTCATACACCCCAACAAGTGAGTCGACCAGTGATTGGGGCTTCCAGTATAATGGCCTTCACGACTTCGGCATTACTGGAACGATCGATATCGCCGTAACACACGGGCCACCGCACGGACTTTTAGACATTTCGGAAGAGAAGAAGAGAATCGGATGTCCCCAGCTTTTTGCGGCCGTGGCAAGAGCTCAGCCTCGAATCCACTGCTTCGGACACGCTCACGAGGGGTGGGGTGCAAAGCTGGTTTCTTGGAGACCCGTCATATCAGACTTACCCTCACATTTTACAGATATAGACAATGACAAGTCTCACGTTATAGAGAACTTGGCAACCCTAAAAGGGTTCAAATTCGAGTCGCCAGAAGAAAGTAAAGCGAGGGAAGAGAGAATCGCTGCCCACAAAGAGCGTGGATACTGTGAGATAAGTCACTTAGGCGACCCCTCGACCTTGGAAGAAGGCGCAAAGACGTTATTCATCAATGCAGCCGTCATGGGGCAAGAAGGGCTGGATCGGCTACCGTGGGTCGTGGACATTGAGTTGCCACCTTCGGTTGACTAGTTAATGATAATGCAAATTTATGAATGACACATCTCAATCTGTCATCTACAGTAACTTGGCTCCTCATCATCGGATGAATTCCCGAATGCCAGTTCGTCCAAGAATGTGTGACCGCTATGGCGAAGTAGTTTCGGTGCATTAGGTAGGTAGTCACCAGATAGCCTCGCCCGGTACTAGGATCAGAGACGTAGACAGCGAGAGCTAATCATGATCCATCACAGTGAACTTCAAGACTGCCTTGTCACGCCAAAACGTTCAAGTTTGTCTCTCGGTAGCTACTGCGTCGCTACGAAAACCCATGCCAATTGATCCATGCCGTCATCCATTCCTAGCATCAACCTCTCATCCTTTCCTCCGTTTTGATAGTCGTGGCTACACCTCTATTCTTACCCTCGTCACTCGACGTCTCCTCGAGTATTCTCTCCTTGTAGATCTTGAGCCAGTCCTTTGTTGCTTGCAGGAGGCTCTCATTGCTCAAACACTTGTAGTAGTGGAATCGGGCCAACAGACTGTTGCCAATCCCGTCGTTACTCGCAAAGCGAGGCTGAGCCAACACCTAAAAAGCCTCCCCCCTCTTTTGAAGTGCGGGGAAGTCCGAATTCATGGATGGTTGTCATGTTCTGAGATTGGTCGTATGGTGATACCTGTACAACTTCGGGTCGGATAGTTACGCATGGATATCAGTGCGGAACACAAGGATGCCGGTGGTTAGATAACATCGGCCGCCTTGCATTCAATGGCTTACGGCACGTGGTCCGCTCGCATTAATAAGATCTAGAGTACCTGGCCTCAGCCATCCAAGATGAAAACGACGATAGTACTGTTCAGTGAAGGTAGCAGTTTGCACCCACTAATGGAACTGCTTTTGCTCGCGATGCCCGATTTTCTTCTACGGGTCATTGATTCCATCTCTCCTGAGTAATGCCATTTCGCCCCTGCCTGGCATCGCCATCATTGTCCCGCGTGCACGGCTGCAACTTACGGACCATCATGGAATTGCCTGTCCCGGCTACTAGGCGACGCGAGACAGTCGACTGTTTCAATTGCGCAGCATCACGGCGATCCTGTGATCGAACAAAACACCGGTGCGATACCTGCGCGAAGTCGTCCGAGCACTGTGAGGGATATCCAAGGGCACTCCAGTGGCTCACAGGCGTCACGTCTCGGGGGAAACAGAAAGGCCACTCTATCAGTATCGACGCTTCGAACACTGCGTGGGAATCCACAACACCGACGAATCACACCTTCATATTCAAGCAAGGACGGCCACCGAGAAGGGGCAGAGTCGAAGTCGGGACCCTTAAACAAAAATGGAAGGCTAGATCAAGAGACACAGAGGCGCATGACTGTCGACAGGTTATCATCCGAGCAGAGTCAAGCCAGCCCGACGCGTGTGTAGACTCACAGCCGCGCGATGAAATGGCAGCGCAAGACATGTCTGACTTTGATGCCTTTGCGACTCTCGATGTTGCTTCAGATACCGTCAACACTCATGATCATCCTGCTTTAACATATAACCATGAAACTCCATCTGCCATTCCACTCGCCTCGGAATCATCCAGTCTTAGGTGGAAGGATACGAGCGATTTCACGGGGGACAACGACCTCTTAGTTCCATCGGTCGAAGCTTACGGCGAAGCATACTCAGCCCCGCTGACTCCTCAGCCCACCATTGGATCATCTGGACTGCTCGCTTTCTGTGAGTAAGCGCATCATTCTGGTGCCATCCCCGTGAGCTGACTTGCGGTTGGATGCAGACGACGCCGAATTGTGTACTCTTCCCCTGACGTTTGACTTTTCGGCGAATCCGTTCCGCTGCAACTCAGATCCATCCCAGGGGCCTCAATACCTCCTCCATGCCCTTCTAGCCTTCTCCATACAGCACGTTAGCCGTTTGGGAAACTTGGCATGCAAAGACTTGACGGATCAGCAGATAGCGTCGTACAGGTATTCTGCGAATAACCAAAGCACAATCGAGCTCATCTTCGCCGGGGATTCTACAAAGCACTTCGTTGTCGATACCATTTTGATCCTCTTTGCGCTGGATGTAAGTTCTGGCCTAAACTCTCCCCTTCTTTCAACGTTGGCCTTGGCCGGCCTAACCATTTCGTTCCAGACTCTTACCTCTGCCGCCGGACCTTGGTATTCGCGCCTAAGTGATGCTTTTCAGAAGCTAGAAACGCTTGGTGGAGTGAACGCGGTGGCGAGCTCTTCTCGATTTCAAGCGCAGATTGCCATGTTTGTTTGGTAAGTACTGAATAGGCTGTGAGTTCAGGAGAAAGTGACATTAATACAAAGCCCTATGCTTCTCTGCAGGTGGGACTGCAGCATCTCTCTCATCTCTCGATCGCAGCCCGTATTCCCATCATCATACTATGATTTCGTGCTGTCCTGTGACGATAGTTCCTGGAGCATCTTCACCATATCAGGAGTGCCACGACAATTATTTCAGTACTTCCGCGAGCTGCTTCAACTTGCTTATGAAAAGGAGCAAATATCATCATTGAGATATGCGACTTTCGACATGAGTCGAGTTAGAGAACTCGAGCAATACATACAAGAATACTCTGACGAGGGCTGCGAAATGTACGGCGCATGTGCTGACGAAGAAACTGTTCAGTCTGCGTACGATTATTATCATGCGAGCAATACTTGGAAATATGCTCTCCTACTGTACATCTGCCGCGTCTTCAACTGGGACAGAACCAGCAGCGCTTCAATGGCTCAGATCTCATCGCTTTCCAGGCAATTGCTAGACAGCGCGCGATGCTGCAGGCCGGAATCGAGCCTTCAAAAACAGTTCTTGATCCCGATATTCCTAGCCGGCGCAGAAGCGACCGGGGCTTATTCGAGAAATTTTGCAAGGGACTACTGTGAAGGATGGTACAGGAAGTCGAGATATAACATGTTTATAGAAGCGGCACATCTTATGGAAGAGATCTGGAGACAAAAGGATGCCCACGACGGCGCCTCCGGCATATGGTGGGGGAGTCTGATAGAACCAAGGCGGCCTAACGCGTCTGAGTTTCTATTTGGATGACTGCCAGCCCTAAACCTCAATCTGATAGCCCCTAGCATACAATCATCTTCAATGTCTCACTTGTATAACGCCCAAGTCCGTCCGTGATGGACGCCTTCTGTCCATAAATACTCAATGGCAAATTCCACATTCACAAATTACTCTTCAACCTGATGCGAACCGACTTGACCTGAGTGTAGTCGCTGAGAGCATACTCCCCCATTTCTCGACCCATTCCTGATTCTTTGAAGCCACCGAACGGAACTTGGTAACTTAATGAGTTATACGTGTTCACCCAGACAGTCCCTGCCTTGAGTTTGTTAGACACGCGGATTGATGTATTGATGTCCGTGGTGTGTATTGCGGCAGCGAGCCCGTAGTTGGAGTCATTGGCCAACTCAATCGCTTCTTGTTCGGTTTCAAACTTGCAAATGACGCAGACAGGGCCGAAAATTTCCTCTCGCATGATGCTCATGTCCCGACTAACATTTGAGAAGATTGTGGGTTGGATGAAGTAACCCTTGGTCCCGTGGCGCTTACCGCCGACCTCAACTACTGCTCCGTCTTCTATCCCGGACTGAATGTAATCCATGATGCGGTCATACTGGACTTTGCTGATTTGAGGTCCCTGGAAAGTGTCCTGGTCGAATGGATCACCAATGACGACCGCAGATGCTCGAGCCTTGAACGTCTTGATAAAGTCGTCATATATCCGTGATTGGACGTAGATCCTCGATCCAGCACAGCACACTTGCCCGTGATTCCAAAAGATCCCCAGGTGGGCCCATGTGACCGCTTCTTCGACATCAGCGTCGTTAAAGACAATATTGGCCGACTTGCCACCAAGTTCTAGAGTCAGCTTCTTGATATTAGATGCGGCTGCGGCTTGTAATATGCTTCGGCCAACGGCAGTCGAACCAGTGAAGGAGATTTTGTCAATGTCTGTGTGAGCCGCAATGGCTGCACCGGCTGTGAGACCGAAACCCGAGAGAACGTTGATTACACCAGCGGGAATACCTGCTTTTTGCATCAAGGTTGCTGCGTATAAGCCAGACAGAGGGGTCTGTTCTGCAGTCTTCAGAACAACAGTGTTCCCACAGGCAAGTGCCGGGCCGATTTTCATGGTAAGAGAAACCAGCGGGAAATTCCACGGGATTATCTGGCCACAAACGCCAATTGGCTCATGCCTTGTGTAGGTGAAGTGCTCGTGGTCCGTATCGATTGTCTTGCCGTTGATCTTATCGGCCCAGCCGCCATAGTATCTCAAGGTCTCAGCCGCTATCTTGACATCGACCTTGGACAGGGACAGCGCCTTTCCATTGTCTAGGGATTCGATTGCTGCCAGGACATCCGAGTGTTCTTCGAAGAGCTCCGCCAACTTCACAAGGAGCTTGCCTCGATCTGTAGGAGACGTTCTTGACCAGATACCAGTGAAGGCTTTGCGCGCTGCTCTGACAGCAATCTCAACATCTGATGAATGTAAGCGATAGCACATGCGGCAGCTTCGTCAACTCCCTTGCTAACCTTCTGGGCCGGCTTCGTGAACGGCTACGATCGGCTGCTCGGTCGTGGGATTAATTGTGTCGAATGTTTTCCCTCGGACACCCTCCACCCACTGACCATCAATAAACAAGCCCAGTGGTTGGGTGTATGTGATGACAGGGGTTTTGATGGTCAGCGTTAACATGGCTGTGATGCGAGCTGTTTCTTCACGCGACTTGGAAGAGCCTCTAGTTGCCGGCAAATGAACTATCAACAATGGCAGCGAGGATTTAAGTACAACTTTTGCAATCCAAAACGTGTGAGTCGCTACTAGCGACATTGCGTTTCGCCTGGGACTCCTCTCACACAATCTCGATGTGTCCAGTTACCGAGTCCCATCAAAATGCTAGACATTCCCGACTTGGTAATTAGAGTGCACTGTTACCCCCCAACCAACGGCAACCTGTCGATTTACCTATTGGGGAAATTCCCAGTTCGCCTGTAACGAGACACCTTTGGCTAATTGATAGAAATGAAACGGTCAGCACCCTTACCTTACTCTTTCGAGATGAAGATTTCCGCATGCGTAGATAATTACCATTCTGAAATCTCATACCGGTGGTGTAGCGGTCAGCCATGAAGCGCCGACGAAGGCGCCGGGGGGCTGAATGCTGGGCTCATGCAGCTTGGCAGACGAATAATTGCAGTGGGAAACGGGTACAATAGTGTTTCTTCTTTGCAATGTATTTTTTATCCTAATCGGACGCAATTCTTGTTAGCATCGGGTAAATGATCACAGCAAGACCGGGTGGCTATGACCGACTCCGCATAATGGAATACATATATGAAGAGCTCAGTCGCGATCCAGCCACATGTTCTGGCAACGTATTGACCTTTTCTATTTCTACGGTAAAGCAGTGCAATCTATTGTTGAAAAAATACTGATCCACGGCAAACCATGGCTACTACCGATCAGCTTCCTACCGGCGCGGCTGGACAATTCGACTACATCATTGTCGGGGGCGGAACCGCAGGCTGCGTTATTGCGAGCCGGCTTTCCAGCTACTTGCCACACAAGAACATCCTTATGATCGAAGGCGGACCCAGCGATGTGGGTGATGATCGAGCTCTCATACTCAAAGATAGGTTCAAGATGCAAGGGACGGAGTTGGACTATGCTTATACCAGTGTTCCGCAACCGAACGGTATGTATGCGGGGTCCCGGTATGTATTAGTTTGCGCGAGGCTCATTGTGAGTAGGGAACAGCAATATCCTACATTCGCGGGCAAAAATCTTGGGTGGCTGTTCTAGTCATAACGACATGGTGTCATTTCGCACGCCTGAGTACGACGCGTACACATGGGAAAGGCTAGGATGCACCGGGTGGTCCTTTGAGACTTTCAAACGCCTGTATCAGCAACTGCGCGTCATCACCTACCCTGGTGCCCATCCTCGAGACCAGAACCAGCTGAGCAAGGATTGGATTCTCTCAGCGCACCGCGCTCTTGGACTGCCGCTCGTGAAGGACTTCAACAAGGGCATCACCTCAAGCTCAGGGCTCACTGAGGGCGCTGGATGGACTCCTCTATCCTACAATCCGGAGAATGGTTGGCGTGGCAGCGCCAGTGTCTCGTACATTCATCCTATACTTCGTGGGGATGAGAAACGGCCGAACCTCACCATTCTGACAAATGCATGGGTCTCTCGCGTCAATCTGCAAGGGGATACCGCAACGAGTGTCAATGTCACGACGAGCGACGGACGGAAGCATGTCGTCTGCGCCGCGGCAGAGATCATTCTTTGCGCCGGGGCGATCGATACGCCACGACTGATGTTACTCTCTGGACTTGGCCCTCGAGGGCGCCTGGAGTCGGTCAACATCCCTGTAATCAAGGACATACCCGGTGTTGGGGAGAATCTACAGGACCATCCCTGTACTCTTGTCCAATTCGAGCTTCATGAGGAGGTGCCCGAGAATACAGCAACACACTCGGACGTGCTAGCGTTTCTCCGACATAAACCCTACAACTGGGCGGGCGATGACGGCAATATCCCAGACATCCTCCTACACATGTGGCAACTCAATGATGATATGACGCCAGCTGGCTACGAACGGCCAAGGCATCCATTTATTATCCTGCCAGTCGTACTACGCACACATGCACGTGGCAGTGTGTACCTGAAGTCAAAGGACCCGCAAGAGAAGCCAGCCATTGATTTCAAGTATTTTGAGGACGCCGACGGCTACGATGCGGATCTTCTAGTCGCTGGTATCAAGGCCGTGAGGAAGATGGCAGCGTCGGAGCCCCTCAGGAGCTGGATCAAGCACGAGGCAGCGCCTGGAGCCCAGGTAACATCAGACGAGGAGCTGAACAAATACGCGCGTGCGGCTTCCCAGACCATGTTTCACCCAGCTTGCACTACAAAAATGGGAGACGTCCTCAATGACCCGAAGGCCGTGGTTGACTCTCGCCTCTGTGTCAGGGGGATCAATAACCTTCGTATTGCAGACGCTGGAGTATTTCCTACCATGATAACGGTCAATCTCATGCTGACCGTTCTAGCGGTTGGTGAACGGGCGGCTGAACTGATAGCAGAGGATGCAGGGTGGCAGGGCTCCAAGTCTCGGCTGTAACAATGCCGAGGAAATTCATGCAGATAGAATCGAATGCAAATTCCTGACGCTTTTGGAAGCTCATGTAACCGTTTACTGCCTTTACTGTCCTACTGTAACGCAGATAAGCATTGATTTGGCCAGACATTATCGCCGCTGCTCACTGAGCTATCCTGCCCTGCATTGCTGGCTGGACCCAACGAGCAGTACCCGACCCAGAGGTTGCACACTGACCAATTAATCATCAAAGCCCGGGCGTTGAGACTCGTGATACTAGTACTCCGTACACCCCGATCTGCTGCTCCACACGTATCCTCCACGAATCCCTGAGGTGGACCTGCTTTTAGTTGTTGGTTGACAGTCGTGAGCAGGGAGATCTTGGCACAACAATAGGGGACGGTGTACTCCGCAGAAGTCGCCGAGCTCGCCACGGGCTGCTACCACCTGGTTTCCGTCTCTTATCACATACTCGTGCTTGGGCTGCTGAGCACAGACTTGCGGGGAAAAGCATCCAGAGGGGAACGGGTAGCACATTGGCGCGACCTGATTGGGTAGCATGACTGCGAGCTGGGTACAATAGCCGGTATAACCAACCAACGACTCGGAGGGAATGTATCAAAACAATTGCAAGAAAACTGGCTCTTACTGTATTGGCCAAGAAGGGACCTAGCTATGTACATGCCTACCATCAGAGAGCCTTCATTTACCAAAAAGGGTAAATATCCGTCTACCTCTGTTATCCTTCCACAAGCGACTAACATCACTGCAATCTTCTGCACCTCACAGGCTACTCAGGCGTTCCAAGGGTGAGGAGGGGCATACACCCGCGCGACGGGTGACTGCGCAAACGGTTGCGTAGCTGCGTTTCCCAGCAGTGCAGAAGGGGAGATGAGCGAATCAACCACGCTCGATGCTTATTGGAGATCTACAATTTATTAGTCGGGTGGTTCCCTGCTTCAAAGTGCCCTTTGACACTGGCAATCTCGTATGAATCGGCTGCTCTTCAGGCAGTATTGACTTTACCTAAGTTACTATCTTTGTGTCCGGTTCTTATACAATTCATCGATATGTGGAAGAAGAAAGACCCCGATCATGCCGTGGGCATCGACGATCTAGAGCTCGAAGCTGCGGGTTATTCGCAAGAGATGCCCCGACGTTTTTCACCATGGTCTCTCGGAGCCTTATCGTTCACTCTCACTTGTACTTGGCTGGGTACCGGATCATCAATCGGGATTGGATTAGCCGAGGCCTCGGCCGCCGGAGCATTATGGGCTCTCCCGATTGCTGGAGTCATGACTCTGATTGTATCTGCCGGCATGGCGGAGCTGGCATCTGCATACCCGGTCGCAGGCGCTCAGTATTACTGGACGTTCATGATTGCAAGTGACAAATACAAAGCATTTGGGTCTTTCGTGTAAGTCAGATACACAGCTTCCTGCACTGTAACAATATCATGCTAACAAGCGAGATGCTAAGCAACGGATGGATGAGTATAATAGGATGGTGGCTAGCGTCAGGTTCTGTTGCCAATTTCAACTCTTCTATGATACTGGAAATCGTCACAGTTTGGTATCCGAGTTTCCAACCGCAACACTGGCAGCAGTATCTTATCTATGTTGCTCTCATCTGGCTTGCAACAGCCCTAAACATACTGGGTTCTAGATGGCTGCCTCATTTTAACCAGTTCATCTTTCTCTTGTCCGTCGCTACACTTGCGGCTACTACAATGACCCTCTTTATTGTTGCCCGCGGCCATCATGCTCCGGCTTCCTTCATTTTTGCCGATACTGTTAGTCAAAGCGGATGGGCAAGCGAAGGGTTCTCTTTCCTGCTGGCCATCAGCAACTCTGTCTACGGGTTCCTTGGAAGCGACTGTGGAGCGCATCTTTGCGAAGAAATTGCAAACCCATCCAGGAACGTTCCAAAAGCGATACTCTACCCACTGGTCGTGGGCCTACTCACCGCATTGCCATTCACCATATCCCTCATATACTCGATCTCGGACGTCAATGCCGTGCTCGAAATGATCACTGGTCTTCCATTAATTGAGATATACTATCAAGGGACAGGATCATACGCGGCGGCTTCTGTTTTGCTAGCCGCCTTTGCATTTTGCCTCTTCGGCTGTTTGGTGGGAGTTGGTAAGTAAAGTGTTCCACAACATGCGTGGTCACCGATACAATGCTAAGCCGAGTATAGGCACGACGTGTTCACGTACACTGTGGGCTGTATCTCGTGATGATGCCTTGCCATTCTCTCATTTATGGATGCGCGTGCATTCCAAGTTTCATATGCCGGCAAATGCAATGCTTCTCACCGCGAGTTGCGTTTCGGTAATTACCAAACCTATTGCTCCGAAACCCTAAGCAGTAACTGATTCTTGGCCATCTAGCTGTACGGATTGATATTCTTGGGCTCAACTACAGCGTTCTCCGCTATGGTCAGTGCCACTATCATGTTCACACAGACCTCCTGCGTTATTCCACAGGCCATTCTCCTGTACCGAGGCCGCGATCAGGTTCTGCCAAAACGGTACTTTGACCTCGGAAGATTTGGCAACATTGTGAACGCCACCGCCGTTGCTTGGACAATCTTCCTAGACGTCCTCGTCTGTTTTCCAACATCTATGCCTGTGTCTGTGGAAAATATGAACTACGTATCGGTGGTATTTGTTGGATTGGCTTCGTTTGTTGTGCTGTTGTGGTTCAGTACAAAAAGGGGGGTTTTCATAGGCCCACATGTGAACATCGGGTTAATGAACGAGAGGCGGTTAGCTGCGTTGCAAACAGACACCGTTGATGCAGACGTGGACGATCCAAAGGCTAGGGAAAGCCGAGTCTCTGTGATCAGTCCAGTAGACTAATGCAATGAGGCACACTCAAAACTGTAACCACTGAGAACAGAATTGCGATAGTTCTACACGTACCGATTTATTACTTTCATCCCAGTATATCATCGTCTGCGAGTGTCCATCATCACAGATTAAGCAACCTGCCTATGCCTCTCCTGAGCTGGATGATCGTATAGCAAAATGTACAAGTGTCATATGTTGAGTCACAAGAGACATTGAAGAAAGATGAAAGACGTCAAGAGCAACCAGGCCCGTCATATCTGCATGCACACTTGCTAGTATAGTACTACTGCTGCTTCTGGAGACCCTCCAATGTCTCCATGAAAACCATTTGTGTATAGGTCTCGATGCCAAAGTGACTTTACCATCTCAATATCTGACCTTTCTGAGTGATGAACTTTCCTGATGTCTCTTCGGATGCCTCATCAATAATCTTCAACATTTCTTCGACACTCGACTCGATCGTATCCGGGGGTTCTGAAGGGAATCCCCATTGATCTGCGACGAATTGACCCGCACGTGTCTGCACCCAGCCTGGATGAAGCGCAATCGTAACGAGACCGCTATCTTTCGTCTCGAGATGCAGGGCTCTGGTGAGCCAGTTGAGAGCGGCCTTACTTGGACCATAGGCACCGCCGGGGACAGGCTCCATATCTGCAATGCTACCAACAGACGATGTCATCATGATGAGCTTCGGTCTCAAGGACTTTTGCAGGAGTGGCCACAGCGCTTGGAAGACAAGTAGAGGGGCGATTGTGTTGACTTCAAAGGCAGAACGGAGATCGTGTGCGGTTGTCTCTGCCGCCGGGACCATAGGGAATGTGCCTCCAGCGTTGTTGATGAGAACATCGATATGTTCCATGTCGAATTCGAACGCATCTCTTATTGCTTTTGGAGAGGTGACCGTTGAGAAGTCTAACTGTGCAATGCGGAGAATGCTGCCTGGCCCGTGGTGGGCTGTCGCTATCTCTTCTGTAAGAGTTGAAGCTGCTTCCTCATTGCGAACAGTAGCAATAACCGTCGTATTTATACGCGCAAGAAGCGATCTAACAAGGCCAAGACCGAGGCCCCTGTTTCCGCCTGTGATCACATAGACAGTATTAACAGTATTTGCGCTGTTATTTGCCATGTTCGCCGGATGGACCACGTTCGATGTACCGACTCGTGTTCATACGTTGGTGGGTAATGATATAAGAAAAGGGGCAGCTCAGGAGACATGGGGGATGAGGTCTTTTATACCTTCATTTTGTGGAGACTGTGACATGTTCCCGTCACAAAAAAGAGGGGTTCCAGCATTACTGACATATAGATGAGCTGTGCTGCCTAGTAGGAGTTCATCCCTAGGGAATCCACAAGTGCTAACCACTACTGAGAGACTGCGCCTCGTTAAAAGGCGGATCACGACTGACTTTCTGGGGTATTTGGTAGCATACATTGCTGTAAACAATCTTGATGCACATGTATGAGGGCAGCAGTTTAATAAACAAACTGCTAGCGACTCTTGAACTGTGTCATAAAAGCATTATGTCTCGATAGGTTTGATTCCCCCTTTGAATCAGGGGTTGCAAATCATCACGCGACGTGCCATATGAGGGCGTCTTATAATCCTAGATCATAAGGAGAAAGCTAAAGATGAGGGTCATTTTAAGCTGATTGGCATCTGTCCAGGACGCTTTCTCTCCGGAAACATTTGGTCCATTGCAAGTCTAATACCATTGAGCTAACATGCGTGGATATATGATACACATGCATGTACCAACCTGATACTCAAAAGGCCGGCATTGAAGGCTGAATTAAGTTCCCTTTGATCCTGGCATAGGGTAAGGTAAGTAGGCCATGGTAAGACATGATCAAAGCGAATGCTAACGAATACCGACAAGCCCCCCCCCCCCCCCCTCCTCTTTTACCATGGTTGGCGCTATATTGTTTTTTAACTCAGATAGTCTGTCTTTAGTCACCCCCTGTGTTATGTTATGAAGACACTCAAGTCCGAGGTTCATGATATTACAAGCTTTATTTGGCTATTGATAACCGCGTGAACAGCCGCATGAGAATGGTACAGCGGCGTCTATATGGAGAGTCGGAAGTAGAGTACATCAGCGGAGACAAGATCGGTGCAGACGTATGAACGGAGTAATTTGATGAGTAGAAGTACAACTACTCGCATGAAAGAAGTTCTCCGGGGAACAAGACTTCCCAATCGATGTTCCTCTAAGGTTCTGACGCTCACAGAGTCAAATTTATATACTGGAACTATACAGTTCTTGCTATATACATATATACACACCGTTGGTCATTCCGCCTTTGGCACTCACCGGCCAATGTAGAGTTGTATACCCTCCAGAGCATCCCATTCTTGCCTCGTCTAACCTCAGCGTTGATCACGCTGTGGCTTCAGGAGCAGAGCCAGTGTCTCTGACAAACTCATCGGCATTCGCACCGGCACTCTTCCGGTATCAACGTCCACTTAGATCCTGCCGTTCAAGTTGTCACCGAATGTCCAGTTCTTCGACCCGTCCCAGTTGATAGACCACGTCATCAAGCCCTTCAGGGCCCCATTATAGTGATCCCAAGCCTGTCCTACTAAGCTTGGGCTCATGTAACCGCCGCCAGCACCAGACTGAGCAGGCAGACCGGGGACTTGCATGCTGTACGGAACCTTGAAAGTAGTTCCTTGGATGGTAAGGCCGTTGTTCAAGCAGTCTGTTTGAGCAATGAAGCCCGCGACTGTGCCGGCCGCGTATGAGTCGCCGGCGCACCCATACATGTCGCCGTTGTAATACTGCATGTTCAGCCACCACAAGCGGCCGTTGTCGACGTATTTCTTGATGATAGGTAGATAGGAGCCCCAAATGGATCCATATGTAATGCTGCCCCCTGTCACGTACGCCGTTTCTGGCGCCATGGTCAAGCCAAAGTTGGAAGGCATCTGCGCGAGAATCCCGTCAATGATACGGATCAGATTGGCCTGTGATGTGGACAGTGTTCCAACACTGCCGCTGCCGGTCAAGCCCGTCTCGATATCAATGTCGATACCGTCAAAGTTATACTGCTTAAGGATCGGAACGATAGTCGAGATAAACTTATCGGCGACAGCACTTGAGCTAAGGTCAATGGCGGCCGTCGCTCCACCGATCGACATGAGTATGGTGGCGCCAGCTGCCTTTGCCTGACACATCTCGGCTGGCGTTGCAACTTTCACAGTGGCATCCATGCCGTCCTGCCAAAGGGCTGTTCCATCAGGAAGAATAACCGGGAAAGCGGCATTGATCACGTTGTAGCCGTGTTGTTGAATCTGGGGATTCTCGATGGGCGTCCAACCAAATGGAGGATGAACACCGTTGCTTGCTCCATCCCAGTTTTCCCAGTAGCCCTGAAGAACCTTGCCTGCTGGCTTCCCCTTGGTCGCGCATGTCGCATTTTGCGCAGAAGCGGTTCCGAACAACGCTGACGCGATGGCGGGCAGAAGCACAAAGCTTGCATCGAGAAGACGTGTCATTGTGAAGTGCTGAGAATTGTGACTGAGTGTATCACAAGAGATGGACAAGGTCAAGCAATGGGAGTGAAAGTCGTTGTCACCTATGCAAGCTCAATCTTTGACCTCCTGAGCGATGAGCCGAGAGTCTTTATAGCCTGTGAGCCCCCGGTATCTGAGCACGGCTTAGAATTGGAATCAATCGAGAAGGTAGTATTCTTTCATTACTACCTTGGTAGGTGACCCTTGTTCATTCCATCAGGGCACAGTTGACTCTCACGGGTCATTTGGGCGATGTCATGCAGCGTTCTTGCCCGTGGGAACATTATTTCATGGTAACCAAGCATCGGCGTCATGCCCAGTACTTGGTACGTATACATGTTTTGTTGCTCGGAAGACCCATCAGATATTACCTCCTTCACAGCATGCTGAGTGCATTGCCATCTCCGTCTTGTCTCGTCTCCCCTCCCCCACGTAGTAGGCCCTCTCAAAAACTCCACCGAGCCTTACGAGCAACGGGAAAGCAAAACGGCGTACCACTCCTGTAGTTGAAGGTAACGTAGGATGTCTGAATGATATACACTTGCCTTTGGTGGGTTGCTAAATCCAAGCTCATGGAAGGCTGAAGTGGGAAGTTCACTGAGGTAGGTAGTGTAACTAAGGTAGGGGAGAGGGCAGCCGGTGGAGACCCCGCATTCTCTCAACAATCTAGATACCTAGGTACCAGACTGCAGACTGGAGTAGTACACGCAAGGCAATCGAGTACGTTGCAGGATTGTAAGGTAATTCACAAGTATAAGCGTTGCATGACTTCACCAAGCCATGTAACATGACAGCATCTACAGTATGAATCTGATATGACACCTGGTAAAGCTTTCATTCCTACGTCCCACATGAAGCGCGTCCACTGCGTGTCCATACCCATCTTATCATGTGTAGGTTTGCATGTATGTATGCTCACCCTTGCAATGTCTGTCTCAGAATGACACTACTACGTGTTAGTCACCTGGCTTATACAGTGGCCTTCCGCTTTTGGATGTCTAGGCCGGCACCGGCTTCCAAGGGGGTCGTGTGAGCTGCCTGTTCCCGTTCTTTATCGGTGTCAGGGCAAATCGGAGCGTATTCAGGATTGCTGGCCCATCGATAGATCATCCTTCAACAGGCCGATTGTATATAGCCGTAGTTCGAGTGGCCAGTGGGGACGGCTACTACAGAAGGTACTTAGGTGCCTACGAGGTAAGCTTAAAACGCCGCTGAAAAAATACTATCCGAATGGTCTTAGGCTAAGGTAGGTAGGTAGGTAGTAGGTACCTTATAGGTGAAGAAGAGAGATCGATCCCTACCTTACCTACCTTCCTTAACTACCTACAAAAGAATAAAACCTACCAACAGTAGGCATGCTTCGTGAGAAGTTCTTCAAATAAGACATGGTCGACATCCAAATCACAGGCGCAATGCAATACCCAATGGCAACCCTAGCTAGTTGCCATGATTCCTTTATCATGGGTATATTGAGCAATCGGCACCTTAACGTTTGCCAATCTATCCAGAATTGCTAGACCAACATCTTTGTCCACAGTTGCTTGAAGGTATATAGAGATATCAGCCTTGAGGGCGCCATATCCGCTGGCCCTCTTCCACCAATGCATCACCAGGCAGAATCTGTCTTAACAGCTCATTAGGCCCTTTGTCGGCGTCCCGTGCCTTTTCCCATTGCCGTGGGTATCCTAGACTGACCTCTTCGTACCTCACACCTTCTTTGATATCCGTCCGCCTGACATGCAGATGTCCAGTCACAACCACTTCGGCCCCGCCGTAGTCGGCTCCGAAATGCCCGCCCTCTGCCCAGTTCCTAGTCCTTTTGGTTCCGCACCAGAGAGTAAAGCGCGGGATCTTTGGAATGAATATCAGGTCCTCCCGCAGCGGCCAGTGATTTACGATGACGAACTTCACATTTGGATATCGTCTGGCGTACTCGGCAAACTTGAGCTCCCACCTGTCGCACAGCTTTGTACACCACTCGTCCCTTGAGCTATACGGATCCGGGTGCAGCAGGGCCTCGTCAGTAGCCCACACGTTCTCCTCCATCGCCCACTCCAGTGCCTGTTCTCGCGATATGTCTGCCGGCCGAAATGAATAATCGTATAATGTGAAGACGAGAGCAACCACCACATCAACGCCGTCCGGCTGTCTCCATAGCATCCAATCGTCTTCGGGTGTTAGGACGCCATGCTGGCGTGCCAATTCCACCAGGGCATTGTACTTCGCTTCTCCCCGGAGGCGATCAGCGGGATGCTTGGCCACCGCAGGTGAGACACTGTAGAGCTCATGATTTCCAGGCACCCAGAAAACATGCGTGAAGCAAGCTTTGGCACGCTCAAAGGCCTTGATCAGGTGCGTGGCTGATTCGCCAATGTCGCCTGCAAGAATCAGGCCCGCGCCCGGAGGTTTGGGCCGCAAGAGGTCCCACGCCGACGCATTCAGAGGGTGTGCAAGGTGCAAGTCGGAAATGGCATACAGCCTGGCCATGGCGGTCACTAATGAGATTGGAATTGGGGAAAAAGAAAGGTCCACGGGTCGAAGCGAGTGGGGTCAGGCACTCATCTTATAGCGAGTTGGCGTGAGACAACGCTTACTTAAACAAGCACAGGTTACGAAGGGATCATCATACCGCTGGCTTAATGACCTTACGTTTTCCTTTTGACGTAGGCGCCTGGTACCTGATGCACAAGCCCGGACGATCCAGGGAAAAAAAGGCGAACAACAGTATACATACTTGGAACTTCTAAGTTATCACGTATCTTCGCCCCGTGTAACTTAACAAATCAGCGAGAACGAGACGCCTTAGCACATATCAGTGTCCCTACCCAAGCACCCGAAGTACCCAGTGATATGGGCAGGCTTGGCAGGTTGGTTTGCTTGATAATCAACCTTTAAAAGTACATACCTTAGGTCACGATGGGCCCACGGTGTGGCCAGAGCCGAGCGCAAGCCATTGAGCCAAGCTGCCGTGCTCCAGTTAAAGGATGAGGTAGGTAGGTATCGAAAAGTGCCGTCATACTGCCAATTACTAGGTAGGTAGGTAATTGAGTGCTTGGACACCACGATCAATGATTGAATAGAAACACGAAATTCTCCGCAGCATTCCGCGTACAGTAAAGTTTGGTAGACGTCACACACAACGACGCTTAGGTAATACCCTCTGTATCAAGTTCAAGCCTTTTACACCACAACAAAATCTCACATAGAGAAAGAAACATACGCAAGGTTGCCCTGAACTGGCCCTGAATTGGTGCACAATGCGATGCCTCCATATGTTACCAGTCACTACCACACGGTAGCTGGATACAAAGATCTTTGCTAAGCGATCAATCCTGCAGTGTCCATCATGAGCCTCCTCTTCATGGCACCCTTGCTTTTACCGCCTATCGCGTGCCCTGCGAGTGTCTCAGTTTGCGCAGAGCCAATATTGGTACTTATCCTGCTATCCTCAGGTGCGCCTTTCGAATCGCCATTGTTGTGCGTCAGTGGGCCCGATAAAGAGTCGTGACGGAGATGAAATCCTGCCCCTGCTGTCGCTTGGTCTGGTGTCAAGGGCAGGGTTTTGAGACTGTCATCACTCACAAGGGCTTGGCTCTGGGAGAGATTATCGGCTATTTGGGACATGATGCCCTCCGGGCGCGGCTGGGAGTGGGTAACACATTCCTCGCCGTTATACACAGGTTGGGACGATAGAGGGTTCGTAGTGGGTTGATGACCCTGATCATGAGAGGCAACCAATAACTGAGGCTGACCTAGATTGCTGGCTAGTTCCAAAGTCAGGATGGTAAGTCAAGATATCAAGTAGTTGGAAGAAGCTTCGAGACGTACTAGAAGAATTGACTGAGTTGCTCGACTTTTGACCCGAGTACAGATACGGTAGAATAAATCTCCTTGCTTTTTCTATAAAGCCAGGCGGGAGGAGATCTGGCCACATCTGTTAAATGAATACGCTGAAGAGAACTTTCAAAAGGCACCTACCCTGGATGGTCTGCATTTCGTCGACCTTCGTATGTGGCAATGTATCCAGAAGCGCTTTCGCATATGCGGCCGCAACGCATGCAGCGTAGTCTTGCCAGGCATCATTCTTGTGTGAATCGGCGTAATCACAGATGCCCCGAATGACGATGCACGGAAAATCATCCATCAATCCCGCGGCCTCCATCTCGACACAGAGGACTTCTGTGTTCAATTCCTCGCGAAGGTCGTCGTAGAGTTTATTTCGGACCTGGGCGTCTTTGATCACTTGGTCACCCGACGCAATTAGACCGTAGTGGAAATTGATCTTTCTTGCTTTCGGAGCCCTCTTGACCGTCTTAGTCCTGTCGCAAAGAGCACATTCGATTGCGTTGCCGTTCAGTTGAGATTCGAAGCAATCTCCTCCTGTGGTAACGACAGATTCCACATGACGATAGCTTGATTGGTATAGCACGTCGGTCAGCATATCCGGGCTAACGAAGCTCTTTGGAACATCTTTGCGAGATTGCAGACGGCTCATATAGCCATCAACCTTGGCATGAGACTCGACAATGTGTGATTCAAGATTGCTCAGAGCCGCCAACATCGCCGTTGGGGGCTTGTTCAGGGAACCCTTCCGCTGAAAGACGCCTCCTGACAATGCCTTGCCGGCATCCCACTGCACAACTCCAGGAGATTTACCTTTGGGGCAGCTGATTACCACATCTCCGAGCCGGACATTGTTCTGAGGCATACCGCCACCGATCCCGACCATTAGCCCAACCTTGACATTCACAAATGTTGCTACCATTCGTGTGGCAACTGATGCTGCGCTGACTGTCCCAGTTAAGCCCATGGGCAAGCAGGCAATGACAACATTGTGCTTTCCGATACTGCCCCGAATGTATGAATTGCTGTCGTGGGGCGGATTTTCGAGCTCATTTGGATCATGGATCTCATCGAGCATGAAAGACGCCGCGCTTTGCTCTCTTGGTAGGGCACAAACCCACCCAACAGTGTAATCGGAAGGGAGATGGCGCGAGTAGCCAGGTGAAGGTTGGTCACGCATATCGACTTCCATACCTCCATCGACCTTCCGACTTGCCTCTGCTTGTTGCATATTCACGAGACATCAAAGTTTGTAATGTAGGAGATTTACTCTTGTTGCTGTTTTCAATGCTAGCAGCCAACGCATAACCCGTTGGCATTGATAAAGGGAAACCCCAAGACCCACGTCGTATAGCAATCTGCAATCGGAACACACCACGACTAGGGGCCTGATGTTCATCGCATATAGCTGGATTGGACAACTTGAAATACTCCCCGATGTATATCCCGCGAAGATCCATGATCACTCATGTCTGCCGTTTGGGTCACTAATTGCCCAACCGTACATTATTAGTGCGATATCTGAGGCGCATTTGCGTCCCAAACGAATCCTCCTCTGACAACGTGGACCAACTCAAAGCTTGCATACCGGCTCGTATCAGCACTCAATGGTCAGGTGGGCCTCACTTCAGCAGCGTAACATGGATGCCTGAGCTGTCCACGTGTTTTATTGCTGTTTGGCCTTTAGGCTGTGATGCTCCTAGCGTTTGGGTTCTCTTGCAGCACCCATGCTGCAAGCCCAGTCTCTCGGGCCAAATCGGTGTGCATGCATGAGCTGAACAGTATTCAAAGAATGACTGATCAATCCTGCCTGCAGGACCCAAAAGAGATAGGAGGGGGCGGGGGTTCCTATGGTTAACATTGCCCTTCGTAATATACCCCTTGTAACGTATAGGCGTTGATAGTATGGAGTACACCAACTGATATCTTAGCATTTGGGCATGCCATGCCATGAGAAGGTTAAGAAGGGGTATTTGGGCATTACCACTAAGGAAACATCGGCATCATCGTTGAGTATTCACAGCGAATAGGTGATGTATTCCTCAGCTGCATCAAACATATTATTGGCAAATGATCATCTACTGTACCAGTTCCCATTCCTCGCCATCATCGTTTCCGACCCTCCTCACAACAGCATTGACATCGTCGCCTATCTCATAACTATCGGCGAGGAATCCTCTCTTGAAATGGCCGAAGAGTAGGCCACCGGGACTCCCGCCTCCCTCAACGCTCAGTTCTCCGTTGCTGCTGATGCCCACATATTGTGCTGAATTGGTCGTGAGAGTAATCGAAATGCTGTCTTTACCAATCATAACCTTTGGTTTGGTTTCGCCCTCAATCTTGATTCGGAAGCGGGTTCGGTTGAATCTGCTAGCGTAGATGCGACCATCTTTGACCGCCCAGTAAATATACGGGCTGGATTTGGAGCGAACATAGAACCTGGAAGAGAGGATCGATGTCAGTCGGACGACAGAAAGTTAGATAAGAAGAGAGAAAAGAAGAAAAGAAATACAGAATGGAAAGGCTGCCGAAACGAAACGTACGTTTGGCCGCTGATGTGGTCCGTCCGTGGCTGCTGCGAAAATGCACCCATGAATCTGCCATCGCGATCATTAAGCAAGGTGTACATCAGACGATCGTTGAATTCTGGTGCACTGTCCCAGACAAGCCCATTGTTGAATGAGTAGTAGTCGGGCGCAAGTCGATTCCATTGAACGCCTGCCTTCTCAGACACCACCCGCCACCATTCATCGATTGTGTCGGAGTCGGGGGCGGCCAATATGTAGCGATAGTGAGGCTCGGATGGCGTCTAGTGTAAGTGTCAGATAGTATGGTCCAGCACCTCTGAATGCCTCTGAATGCTTGCACAAGACTCACGTATTTGATCAAGGCGTAATAGACCATTGTGTCCTTAGAGGGAAAAAAAAAAGTTCGTGGAGTGGAAGTTTCGCCTACTGAAAGCAAACACAAGTTTTGGGATCAATGATGCCGCCAGGTAATAAAGACGAGCGGCGCAAGCACCAAGTAATTTGGCGTATTTAGTATGTATGGCTGGACTGGCGTCTCCTTGGAAATCACCTCGGAATCAGACTGACGCATGTTTCCAGAACTGTAAACAATGCAGCACCATCCAGACTATTTAGCCGGCATGAAACAGTTCTGTGGAGGGTGACATGGGGAGAGACTCTGAAGCGTTCAGATTGCCCGTTGGGCACATATGTAAGGCATGACGACTTTAGCTTGAAAAACAAAGTGCACCATGAGAGGGTCAGCAGGAGCAACAGACGATCTGCATGGAAATAACAGCTTGACGTGGTAGTTGGGAGCTAGAGATACGGCTGCCGGAGGTGCCAGGCCCAGTAAGATACTAGTCCCAATATTGTGAATATACCTGCCCAGGCCGTTGCTGCTTTTCGGAGGAGCCTCTGTGTAAATCGGTCTCTTGCTGCGGCTTCATTTGCGTGGGGAAATGGCTCCGTGGGGATTGGTTTGCCTAGGAACTTACAGAGAGGCTCCCATCCAGATCCAAGTTTTACCTCAAGCAGACGTTCTTTGGGAACAATGCTACGTATGTACTCGTTATGCTGTTCGATCCAAAGCGGGTTGCACTTGCGGCCAGTTCTTTCTTCAGCTCTGAGAAGCATTAGTCGTGGCGGCTTGTTTCTTCAGAGGGGCTGGGGGTTTATCTCACGCCTCAAAGAAACCTCTTGCTGTGTCGACAAACCATCGAGCACCAGGGAGCGGCATCATAATGTATCCCATGGCTTTGCTGCCGGCGTTTTCGGCGACTGTTTTGAAGCTTTTCCACCACGCTTCCTGATCGCGTGTTACAAGAATGACTTGTACCTCCGGGTAGAGTTCTATAAGTTCCGGAATGAAGTCAATCGCTGTAACGTCTGTTGCCCCAACGAAGCCCGCGAACACGCCCGACAACGCTTTGAGCAATTCTGGGTGATCGCCCTCACGTCGATATCTGTATACCTGATTCCATTTCTTGCAATATTCTATGTACATGTCTATTAGCCAAGAACGACCAATGCATAGGTAGGTCAATCTACCCTGTTACACTCACCATCTTCGCGATTCAAAAGTTGGGTCGCCGTATGATGCACAGGTCCATTGAGAAGTCTTTCTAAGGCGTAGGCATATGATAGAGTCCCGGTTCGTGAAAATCCAGCATCTATCACTTCTAATTTTCGTGTCTTGTCTGTGGGTACAGATGCCGCTTGTCCCATGGTGCTGTTTTGATGACACGCAGTGCGACAAAAGCTTGATTGACAGTCAAGAGACTATAGTATCGACTGGATATGTGCCTATATATAATGTATATACATATTCTATATGTTCCTTATGGTTTCAGCTAGTCTGACGTCAGCCAGAGCAGGATTGGAAGCTGGAAACTCTTCTAACCGTAGTGCATACCTAGGTACTGTATGAATGAGGAAACTTTAAAGCGGTGCTATTTATGGCTCTCGAACTGTATCTGACAGTCTCGTCCGTATAGCTGGTAACATCGTAAGCTGACCTCACACTAAGTAAACTAGGACTAGTTAGTAAGGTACTTTCTTATCGACTTTGTCTTCTAGTTGTGGCTCTATAGCCAGAAGCAAAAGATGTTGATCTTGTGCATACTGCGCATTAGTAAAGTACACGCATCTGCAGTAAACAAGACTGATCAGTCACTCTAGTTTCGCCACTGACCTTTCCAAGGATCTATACTTAGATGAGGCGCACATATAGTTCTGCTATATACCATAATAAAACCATGCTTACAAAATGTGACAGTTACATTTCAAGAGTCCCTCAGGCATGAGGGAAATGGTAATATTGAAAAGTCATGATATTTGTACTACGAGGATCCAAGTCCTCTGAAGTTGCTACCGACCCTTCCCTCAATAGCAGCAATATTAGTATTCCCTTGTGAGAGCGCTGCCTCGTAAGCCCTTCGATAAACAGTCAGGTTCTCCGAGAACAATGGACGAACATCTGTCCATCCTGTAATCAAGCGAATGCTCTCGCTGCTAACCCACTGGCTGAAATTAAACACAAAATGCAGGCCTTCTGGAAATGTCGGAGGTGCATCACCTGGAGAAACGAATTCCACGCCCCTTTCAAACCCATACTCCTTTGCCAAGGCCTCCCCCACCTCCTGTGCTGTCTCATACCTGTGGCTGGAGATGTTGAACGTTCTCCCGGCAATTGCACATCGATCGACGTGCTCCGCGACAGCGAGGTAGGCCAGCCCGCAATCGTCGACATGGGTCGCATGCATGATATTGTTAGGGTTCGCCGGAATCTTTAGTGTGCCGGACCCAGCTGCTGCCTCGTGTGCAACCCAGGACAGCATGGCTCCGTAATAGCTGCTGCTACGGCCATAAACGCTGGTCGGCCGGAAGAGGACAGCATCGAAAACGTCGGTGTGGTCGAATATACGAAGGCAGTTTTCAGTCCTTTGACGGAGGACACCCGGGGGATTGAGGGGGGATGCTTCAGTGTGTGGAACAAGAGCAGAAGCTCCATGCGCTTCCGTCGTTCCATAGTCCTTGCAGCCAGATGACCAGAGGACCAATGAGCGAACGCCCTGCTGTTTGCTGCTCTCAGCCAATGACTTGACAAGCACCATGACCTTATTGAAGTGGTCTGCATATCCTGAGAAGTCCTCAGTACAGCTGACTATGACGTCAAAAATGGTTGCCTTCTCATAGAGAGAGCTGAGGAAGCTGAGCTCGTTGAAAGTTCCCACAACTGGTATGATTTCGGCCGCCATCAGATCTTGGACTGCCTCAGGCCTCCGAACAAGGCCGAAAGTTCTCCAGCCGGCTCCGACAAACGCTCGGCATACGGCAGCGCCTATGTACCCGTTTGCTCCTGTCACAAAGACGGTACGTCGCCGGCTAGGTACATTCGTAGGCATTTTGCCGACCATGGTGAGATCGACTTGGCGCGGTAACAAAAATGGGCGAGGAGGACCCTTCACAGACTGGTGATCTGCTGGGAAGCTAGATGATACAAGTGACCGAATTTGGGGGGAGCCGTCAGAGGGGTTGTTGAAATGGCAGAGCGTGGTTGCTTTTCTTGGTGCGCCCGAGTATGTCTTGAACAACCTTGGAAGAGCCTCGAGGTCCTGAATCAACTGTTCAACGTACAGTCTGCCGCGACCACGGCGTACCTTTTATCTCGGCCCCAAAACGCCGGACCAGGAGCCGGACCAGGAGCCGGACCATCGGACCATGGATTGTTCTCAGCGGGCCCCGTATCATCGGACCACTTCTGTAGGGGGCCGCAATTTGTAAGCATAGGTATCTACTCAAGTAGGTACCTTACTTCATACGAAGATTACCTTACCTGGAATATCTGCCAGGTAAGTCCCTCGGGTACATGTTTTTAATAACCAGCAAGAGTATGACCACAAGGCACTGGATGGCTGAAGTCCAGACGTCCGAGATGAGAATAACCGTTGGCGAAATACATCGTCTCACTCCTGACGGTCGATCTTTTGCTCTTGAAAGTGCAGAATTTCTGGGTCACGTTGCCGTGCCACGCCAAGGCCTTCGGACCACAAGCTTCGGACCAAGAATTTCGGACCAGATAATGCATCATGTTCTCTTTTTTTTTTGCCGTGCACTGCATGTACACTGCCTGTCTGATCCTCCACTTTTCTCAACCGCACGCCAACTTCTCCACCGTATCTTGCGTGCACGACTGATCTGACCTCCTCCGTTGCTTCCGCATAGGTACTTGGACATGCAACTGGGCCAATAAGTCTCGCTTTCAACCTTTCCTCTGCTAAAGATTGAACAGCATGGAGACCGAAGCTCCGAGGAACAGCGCGCCGATGTCCGGCGCCGGTCAAGGTTCTGTAGTCAGCTCCTGGAGTTGCTTCAACTGCCGAAGGCGCAAAGCGCGCTGCAACAGACAGAGCCCATGCGCATTCTGCTCCAAAGCCGGCGTGGAGTGCTCGTATCCCTTCACTGGACGCATGCCCACTCGGCAGCATAACCCTGCGGCTGCGTCTGTCGTTCCAGTTCAAGCCCGGCCGTCGCGGAAGCGTTCCGAACTCCAGGTCCAAGAGCTGCTGGATCGTCTGAGGCAGCTGGAGAATGTGGTGGACGAGATGAAGGCTCAAGAAAAAAACGGGACGTCTCGCCATATAGAGTCGGGGGATGCAATTGCCGAGGAAGGCGAATCAATCCCGAGAGCTGGGGCAGACTCAGCTGCCAGCGGTTCAAATACGACAGATTCATGCTCTGACCTTTCCCATAAGTTGAGCAAGTCCTTTGGTAGCCTTCACGTTTGTGGTGGCGGCACCTTATATACGAGCAACGGCTTTTGTGCTGCTCTTCATGACGAGGTACGATGACCAGCCTCAGCATGCTTTCACACTTTTAAAACTTGGATACTGATCACCCAATGTAGCTCAGAAGCGTCCGCCATGCATTCGAAGCCAGCGACGTCGACGACCTCAATGGCCTGGAATGCAACCCCTCCGTGCATGACGACCGGCCCGATTCCATACCTTTCCCCTTTGCCCAAAACTGCTCCCCTGACTCCATCTTGCATCCGGCCCCAAGTCTCATACCTTTTCTCTGGAAAACGTACGTTGAGAATGTTGACCCATTCATCAAGATTCTTCACGTGCCTAGTATGGATAATGTCATTCAACAAACCAAAGATAATCTTGACGAGCTGTCGCCGGGGATGCGAGCTCTATTATTTTCCATCTCTCTGGCCGCTGTCGTATCAATGAGCGATGCCGATGTGAGTGTATTACGCAATGGCAAACTCTATTGGTATTGACCACAAAGGATCTAGGTGGAAAAGGAATTCGGCAACGCCAAGGAAGATGTTTTGGCACACTTTGTGATGGGCACGGAGACAGCGCTGTCAGAAGCCGGCATCCTGAAGTCAACTGACCTGTGCGTCGCGCAGGCATCCCTCATCTATCTCGAGAGCGCAGGCCATCGATACGGGATGCGGACAGTCTGGATGATGTCTGGAATCTTGGTGAGGGCCGCAATGTCCGTAGGACTGCACCGTGACGGCGTTGCTTTCCCCAAAATGTCCTGCTTTCAAGCAGAGATGAGGCGGAGGCTATGGTGGCACATCTACTGTTTCGACGCCCGTGTCAGCCAGTGTTATGCGCCCGAGATTATGATCACCAACAGCATGCTGGATACAAAGGAGCCTACAAACTGTAACGATGCGGACCTCGATGTGAACATGGAAAAGGATCCAGTGGCTCGTGAAGGTTTTACAGACGTCAGCTTCACACTCATGGCGTGCGAGCTGAGGCGCTTGTACAGTCATGTGCTCTCGTTAATGTCCGCCCTCCTGGACACTGGGGAAAGACAGCAAGCAGCACAACATAACGCTCTGCACAGAATAGAGAAAGCTCGACATTGGGCGAAAACAACAGTCCTCGGAGACTCCGAACGAAGACGGCCTATACAACCTTTTATGGACTTCCTGTTCAACATGCTACTAGATCAACTGCGCATCATCGTGCGGGACACAAACATATTCAAGAGATGGGCATCGACTGATGATACAAACTCCCGAGAGCAGTCCTTTTTCTCCGCACTGGCTCTCCTCGGTGATCTGCGACAATGGCGAAACCAGTACTCAACGCGCCACTGGGGATGGATTCTGGTGAATTTTCAAGACTGGCACCCTCTTGGTATCGCCCTCATTCATCTCCAGACACAGAAATGGGACCCCGCATGCGAAGAAGCCTGGACTCTTGCAGTACAGACGTTGAATGCCATTCCACCGGCGATGATGACGCAGAACCCTCTACGGCAGTCTATTGTCAACCTCGTCACTGCTACTCGTCAACACCGAGAGCGGCAGATCGAAGAACAACGCTGTCAAGCGGAAGCTCCTTCCAGCATATCTAAAACATCAGAGTGCTCTATTCCGATTTCTAGTTTAGCAGACATATGGACTAGCTGCGTGAACGAGTATCCAGCGCCAATTACTGAAGGACTGGCGGCTCAAAGACCAGCAACGGAGACCGCAGTAACGACAATTATCCATACAGCAACCTCCAACGCAATCAAGGACAATACTTTTGAAGAGGTGATGAATGCAGAGCAGTTGCGGTCTGACGCCTGCTACCCACCTTGGTGTTTTGAGATGGCGGGTGGTATGAATAGTGAAGAAGATCATTTCCAGAGCCTAGAGTGCGTGGGTCTCTATAATTTGTTTAATCATAGAGGCTAGGCTGTGTATTTCGAGACATGAAGTAGAAGAGATAGAAAGGTAGACTTCTAGGTGTATATAAGCAGCTTACAGCTCACTTCCTGTTGACGCCAAACAAGGTCAGAGCTCCCGGGAAGAGTCTGTTGTCGCCCGCCTTGACTTGAGCAATGGAGCTCTTTGGAAAGCCGCCTCCTGAGCCTATGTTGGTGGATATGTCAACGACCGGAATTATTTCATCACTAGGCATTTGTTAGTTGAGCTTACTGATGATACGAGGGCTGGTCATCAACGTCTTTTTCGCCTAGACAAGACATTAGTCCACAATGGCGTTTAAGATTAGTGGTATGCTATCTGTTACCATGACACGTCATTCACGGTGATTATCAGAGGGACGCCTGCTTGTTTTACTGAGAAGAGTGTCGAAGACGTTATCGTAAGCATCTCGCATGTGATTTGCAGTAGCATAGCTAACAAAGATTAGTTGGAAAGCGCAATCTACGTGTAATTGCAACGGTCCACATATGATATGAAGCAATCAATTGTTCAAAAAGACAATCTAACAACGCCACTACAACGTTTCCTTCTCTAAGTCAAAGTCTTCCTGCAGTAACAATATGCCATCCAGAATCTTTCCCATATGCGTCTTATCAATCACCTCACAGTTGCGTCGTATCTTCATTAGCACCTTGAGAAACGGGACTGGACTCTTCTTGAATGCCGACCTGTTGATGACATCGCCAACGAATACACCGTGGGGAATGAAGCCGTCTGGTTCGAGAACAACGTCATCGTCTGGAATGCCCCGTGCCAAACCAAGCATGTCGCATAAAGCCGCGTACTCACGGAACGACGACAAATACAGTTGACCAGCAAAGATGTTCAGCTCGACCATCATTGCCTGCGGAAGCGTAGGATTTCTTTCTCTCGTAGGTACCGTATACAGAGTCAGCCTGTCTAATGGCTGGAAGGCGAGGTTTGTCCTTGGGGAATAGAGATGTAAAGTGACCTTTTTGCAGGTTTCGATCTTCTCGAGTAGTTGATGCACCTCCCAAGGGCTGATGATGACAACTTGGTCGATGACATTGTTTGCATCACTAGTTGTCAAAACCCATTGTACGGGACGTTGGAAGAGGTCTGTAACGTTATCGACGGTTTCATTCATTATGACCGTCGCGCAAAAGTCTTGTGTTGCCCATATGCTGCTCGGGTAGTCGCTCATGTCAAAATGCTCGGCAGCTGAAGTTCCCCGAAATGCGAAAAATGCTCTCTTGAACGCGGAGAAGTTGCGGGGGAACTTTCCGTGCTCGACAAAATGCACAAGATCTTCATGACAAGAATGTGCACGAGGCTCGACCTGCGGAGGTGGCTCGACTTCTCGCTCTCTCTCAGTCTCAGGAGAAAGCTCTCTCTCCTGTTCTTCCTGTAGGGAGGAGCTGCGAAGTTCTGTCAACCCGAACTCCCGACAACGATTCTCAAACTCGATCCTCATTTCTGGGCCTGCGCGTTGAACCAGCTTTGACGATTCCAAGGCAGCTCGTGGACGATATCGGATGTCGAGACTTTGAGCGTCAGCCTCGAGAAACTTTTTGGCCCAGAGTGTGCTGTCACAGGAGCTGTCGGAAGGACTGCTCTCTTCCCATAGAGTGTTCTGCTCGTAGAACCGGACTCCTTGAGTCAACCACAATGGAACAGTTCGTCGTAGATCTAACCAAGTCTCAGATATAGTCCAACAGAGCACATCTGACACCGTGATCTTCTCCGAGCTTGAGGGCTCATAACCTCTCTGCATCAAGATCTTCTGCTCAATCTCCCGGGGAATGCAGAAGACTACTGACTGTCCTTTGCCGAGTTTTCGCATTCTCATACAAGCTAATACAGGCGTTAACAAATAAGTCACCCTGTGTCATCGCATTGTCATGACATTACCTTGCACGAGCTTATCCTTTGTCAAGTTTGCGCCCAGTGTTACCGCCGCCTGGTAGTCCGAAGGGAGGCGTAGGTCTGTGCCTCTAGTATGGGCCTCGTCGAGGAACACCAGGCACTGATCTAGCTGTGAAGCAAACGGCGATGATTGAAGAGGCTCTACTTTGCCCGATCTATCCATAACCGTCAGCTCATCGGCATCATTGAAGAAGACGACAGCTTGGACGGAGGCGTTGTCTTCGTTGCTACTCAGCCACCTTTGAGCGAACTGCAGGTTGTTTAGTTCAATGATCTGCGCTCCGACATCCAGGATCACGCGGCTTCTTGGCCCCATTTCCGACACCATCTCAAGAAGTGAGTCGGCTCCCAGGGTAGTAGCCCCTCTCGACGCCTCCGACATTAGCCTGATTCCATTTTCAGGTCGGAGCAGATACTCTAGCACCAACGCATTCGTGTGGTTTTGCGCTGGAATATCGAGTTGTTTGATAGCCAAAGGGAGCACATATCTTGAGTCGTTTGTTCCACTGAAACCAGTCGTCGAATTGGCTTTCTTCTTGCCCAGGTCCCAGCCCGAGGCAGACAGCTTGTGAGGAAATTCCCTGGACTCTTTTGCAAATACCAAGTGGGAAAGGAAGTAGTCAACGGCGCCTTTCGAGTAGCGAAGCAATGGGAAGATGCTCTCAACACATTGCGCGCGATCACGGATATTGATACCCGTCAGGAGATGGAATGCACGAGGTAATTGCGGTGCCGTCTGGACCCAGGCGCCGTATTCAAGATCAGCATTGTCAGATCTGATGAGATGATCGAACGCCTCGAAGAGTTCGTCGGCTTTAAGGCCACTGTAGTAGTAGCTGAGGCATGTGAGCAGGATGACGACGTCTGGATGGCTGAATTCCGACCGTGGGGTGGGATTGTCTTTTGCTCGAAATGGCACAGCCAGTCGGGTTTTCGCCTCACGATTCGCGTCTGTGCCGTAGTCGACTCTCCACCGTTTCTGGCCAAAAGCAAACGCCAAAATGCCGCCTGCAAATAGGCCGCGGAGAAGGAGAATATAGTGTCTGGTAGAATCCCCCCAGTAGGCACTATCTTCAACGGCACTGATTTCCTGCGCTGTTGGGCTGCTGTGAGTGATGTAGCGGCATACAGCATCTCTTATGTGCTTGGGCTGCCGCGCAATGGAGAGTCCAGTAATCCCTGTGCAACAGATGAAGCGAGCGAGGCGACTGAGCACGGCCTGCTCGGCATCGGGACGTAGTATCCGTATCCTTGGGAATCTCCCTGAAGACAGTTGATCAATCTCTAGCGACTCGGAGAAGGAACTCTTCAACTCCAGACAGACTTCAACGAATTTGTCAAGCACCTCTTGTATCACCACCCAGCGGTCCGGCGTATGTTCAATGCTCTGCTGCAGCCCAATGGTGTAGATGAGCTCAAACTTGACATTGAAGTTCTCATCACTTTCATCGACGATATCTCTGGACAATTGGTCAAACAGTCTTTGGACGTTGAGCAAACAACGGCCGACTGCCTCCTTCCCGTCAATGAGGTATTCCAGACCCATGAGCTGGAAAGAAAGCAGATGCTCTGGCTGTACCAGCATGACTCCGCCTTCTCTCATCGACCGACGGGCTAGCTCTTCGACCACAGCAGCTTTATCTCGATCCATGCGAATTGCTCGAGAAAACGGCATGCGAAAGATTGGGCGGTCTATCAGACCCGAAAGCTTCGACACGAGCATTTGGTGCATCTGCTTCGCCTGCGGCTTGGCAACAACGACGCGAACAATCCGTGAGCCGTTGCTGAGCGCGGTTGCGACAATAGGGACAATAACAGAAGACTTCCCCTCACCCATGTTGAGCTGCATCACGGCATTGTCGTTGTTCTCGGGCGAAATCATCCGCTCCGCAATCTGATGTTGCACATGCCGGATCATGATGCCGCTCTCGCACTCCAACAATAGCCACTCAGGATATTGATACGGGTCCCAGCTATGCCCTGGATTTTGTACTTCGCGCAGGAGGTCGACGTCTTTGTCAATCAGCTGCACCAATCTCTGCGCCTGCTGAAGGGCGGTGATTGCAACTCCATATGCAACGATGGCCTTCTTCCAGGCCATAGAAAGCGACGGCCATCGATGCCGACCAAGCTGTTGAAGGAAGAATGTAGGGCAGAGCCTCGGCCAGAAGCCAGCGATCCGAGCGGTTACCTCCCTCTCATCCCTTTCGACCTGCTTCTGCACGACTGCCCCTAACAAGGCATCGTACATGGATTGCACATGCATCTCGCAATGACTCAAATGCAACTGAAACATTACTGCTCGCAAAGACATGGGGTTATCGTTCAAGGTCATCTCCCGGCAGTTTCCCAGATCCGCCAGACTACGCGCCAGTTCCGAGAGATAGCGTCGCTCAAAGTCAAACTTTGCCTGCCGATTCAGATGCCGCAGCATCCCCGACAACATGTGGTCACCCATCTCGTCAGTACCCGTGGTGGATAGAGCGGCCAAATTCAAGGACGAATCTGTGGTAGGGATGATGGGTGGAGGCTTAGCGAACAGGTCATTGGCTGATACATATCCAGGAGGGCGGGCAGCTGGGCCTGGGTAACGCGAGGGGAGTCGGCGTGGCATATTCACGTCTCCAACCTGGTAATGGCCTAGACGGCGACCAAACTCTTGCAGATAACCTCTGAAGTTGTGGTTATCATGCCACACTTGCCATTGTGCTTGCACCTCGACCATTGCAGCCGATACATTGATGTAGGTATCTTGCTGATGCTGTTGCGGTCGCAGCGGCGTTGAGCAAGGCCATTGACTCACAAGATGATCCACGAAGGAACGAATCAATTCCTTTTGGTTAGACTCGAACATTGCTTTCTGCCGACGCGCCGTGGCAATTGGGGATTCGTTCCAGTAGGCAGGTATGGCCTTTTCCGGGCACCCATCATGGAACTTCTTCGAAGCGCGTTTAATGATGCTCTGCAATGTATCAAGCTTGCATTCATAGCCTTCTGAAAGGTGGTACAATGACTTCTCGGGTAAAGGCGTTGCCGGTAGGTGCTCGGTGAGTGAAAGCATCAATAGGCTTTGAAGGACATCCATGTCGCATTTGGTTGAATATGCCAGGGTGGTAAGCCAGATCATCACCTGGTACTTGTTCAACCATCCTCTGTCCGCCTGAAATGCAAAGTGTAGCCTGCACCAGAATTTGCACAGAAACTTCATCGGATCTTGGAGCCATTGGCCTCCATATGCCATCTCCAACAAGCAAGGAGCAGTCCTATTAGCGGGCGTTCCAGATTCTTGTGAGAGGAGCCGGTAAATTGTGTTGACAAAAGCATGGTTGGGTGAATCCTGTTGAAGAAGAGAGACGCCGTCATGAACTTTCAGTGCGATCTGGCTCGCACGAGCCACCTCAGGTGACGTGCCTCGATCTCTGGATTGGTACTGGACACCCTGAATTGTCCCATCATCCTCAGCGCCACAAAGTGTTACTTGATAGCGTGAGCTTGCGTATATTTCTCGCTCAATGAGGAAATCGTCAATACCCGCCCGCCTCGTGACCTCGGACAGCTTGGATGCATTGGGCGGATGCAGGAAGCTCAAGGCTGACACTCCGTCCAGAATGTCGTTGACAATCTTATAAAATCGTGAATCTTGGGCCAGGAAGCTCAAGTCAGAATCCCAGGTCACTGTCTGCATGGTCCTAAGGTACTCCGGGTAGAACTTGCGACGAGGCGTTAGAGCAGCAATATTACAGAGTAGCCGAATGCTGTCTTCAGTCAGATAGTCGATGGACCGAACCGACGCCGACTGCAGTATTGACAACGCCTCTTCTGTTCCAGTGCGACTCAGGAAGGGGTCGGGGATGCAATACGAAGTAAGCGCATGTATGTAAGCCAGAAACAGCTTGCTGTGAACGGTGGCATTATCAACAAGGCGACGAAGCTGCTTGTCAATCGTATACTGCTGCACACGGTGAGCCGTACCGTATTCCACGCATGCCCTCGTATGCCCAGCGGAATGATCTTTGTGAAAGCTGATCTTCCCTTCGGGGATTATCGCCATTCGGTCGTCCTTCTTCTGAGAGTCTTGCAATATGAGCTTGCTGCCGAACCCCACCAGTGTCTCCATGGACTGGTTTGCATCAATCTGCTTGCCCCGGAACTGGCGTGATCTGATGACTGATTCTCCGTGCTTCAGGCTGAACTCGAGCTGCAGACTTGGAATTTCGATTACAGCAGTCTTGTCTTCTGCATCAGATAGAATATGCAGGTTCAGAAGAGATTCAAGAGGGGAAAAAATGGTCGCTAAAAGAGCTGCAGATGCACTGTCTGGAGCAACGAGTGATGTCCTCTCACGGCGGGTGAGCTTCCAGAGGTTACCATGCTGTGTCATTATCCAGTTATCGCGACTGAATTGCCATGGATTTTCTATAGAACGAAATTCTATGCTTTTTGTAACATGGTTGTACCAATGAACATGGCTTTGTGCAAACGTCCGCGGTAACGATCGGGCGAATATCCGAGAAGGCACAATATCCAATGTGGGAAGACGCATTGTTTCATCTTGCAGACGGATCAGCAGATCATCCCCGTCTGCTGATGCATCTTTCACCGCGCCAAAATGGACGGAGTAGCCGGCAAAGGTCTTGCAGCCGCAGAAGCGCATTCCTTGGGCGGTACTGGGCATGACATCAAGTACAAAGCGTCCAAACACCTTTTGAAAGTCATGATGAGCCTCATATTCGCGAGGCAATCGGGATAAGGGACTTCCATCAACCAAAAGGGATCCACTGAGTATGTTAAAGTGAACTCTTTTACCGCCAGATACTGTCTCAAACCAACTGCAAGTGGAAGGAACGAGGCGCCAAGCCCTGCCGCGTCGAAAGTCTGGCCAGTATCGACTGATGCTGATGTCTAGGCAAGTATTGTCTCTTGAGAGGACTTCTTGCACGATTATCCGTCGTGAACGGTGCAATGTGAACACCCATCGGTCGTACATTGTCTTCTCAAGGAGATCTTCCTCTGGCTCCTCGCGTAGGAGTCCTACATTGTTGTAGATGTTGATGGATGCTTCTAGCAAAACAGCCGCCTGCTCGGAATCAGGCAGAATCTCGAGCAGAGAGTGCTTGTCCAAATTGAAGGAGTCTGCGCATATAAGCGAAATCCGAAGGGCAATCCGTAGGAACTGGGTCCTTTGCGCTTCATCTTTAGTCTCATGGGCTCTAGCCTGCAGCTTCGCCAGCCACCCAAGAGTGATCGTTCTGCACTCAGTCAAGAAGGGAAGAGCTTGCTCTTTCAGTGTCTGCGTAGTCATTGTCATGAGACGAGCTGTGAGAAAGACAAAGATCCATAAAGAAATGTTCGACTGCCAATTTTCCCTGATGCGTGAAACGCAGCTTCGAAGGCGCTCGAGGAATTCGCGACCGAATTCTAGATCCGACAGCCGTGTGTGCGCGCACCTTTCAACTGTGCCAGCCTTCATCGGGCCATCTTTCCTGGGGCCAGCCTGAAGGCTAAGCTGGAGGAAGAAGATTGCAGTCTCAGGTTTGTTGAAATCAACCTCAGGCATTGCGAGTTGAGTGAGCACGCCCATCCAATGGATACGATATCCATAGCGAACCGTAGCCAAAGCTTTGAACTCCCCCAAGGTCATGTGGTCCGGGCAAAGAGATTGAGATGCGATCACAGCATTTGGAGTTTCGCCAGCTGGATTTTCGTGCGTGTGAATGAGGAACCTACTCATCTGCACCGAGTTCGGGTTCAGTTGGAATGTACAAAGCTCGGGTAGCTGAACTGTTGTAGTGAACCCGGCAATGAAACACTGCCTATAATTGTCGAAATATCGGAGTCTGAGTCCGTTATGAACGCAGACATCCTCTTCTGAACTGGTGGAAATAGGTCGTTTGCGTCGGTGAGTTCTGATATGGGGCTTTGCGTTGGACAGCAGATGCACTCGCAAGTTCGTGTCTGTCTGAAAGAACCTCGAAAGACCAGAATAAGTCCGCAGAGGATTGGGCGTTTCTGATTCTTCAGAGTATTGATAGGCGCTTCTAAGCACGTCATTAATGATGAAGACTGTCGCATCACGCCATTGGCCAAAGTGCTTGGGCAGGTCTAGTTCAAAAACTGTTGTCTGAGCTTCCAAAAGTTTGTTTGACAGTGGCCACTCGTGCACCTCTATCGAGAGGTTTGAGGCGTTTTTTTGCAGCTGGCATCGAGAGCACCGTGGATGATGCTCGTAACAAGAGACTCCATCCTCCCAGTACTGCCAAGTGTCGCACGTCCCTTGCTCATACTGTTGCATCAGGCTGGTATACTTGGCGTGAAGCGCTCGAAACTCTTCGCGTTTAAGGTTTCTTTGCGTATGAGCCCACAGTTCAATGTCTCTCATGAGGTTCTGATGCGACGGCGAAAGTGTGAAGTATTCCACAGGAAAAGACCTCGGCACCCCGTAGGAGTCAAAGATTGATGGTCTATGGCGTGATTGGGCGTCTTCTTGTCGATGTTGGAGATAAGTCTCGGCACGATGCAGCCTCTCCATATCTTCTCGAAATGCAAGCAGCAGCGCCTGGAATAGTTCGAGGGGGATCTTGTGTTCGTATTCCATAAGTAGGGGAAGGGCATTAGTCGCAACTTTATCAGCTGCAATCCAAAGTTCGATGCAGACCAGGACCATTCTTGATATCCCTTCCGGTCGGCCGCTATACCAAGGTTTGGCCAGTTCGTGATAGCGGTACATTAGAGTGCAGATGCCGAGACAAGATAACTCGTCATGCAGATGGCCCTTACGCCACTCATCAAGATGTTCGGCCACCCACATCTCAATCATAGCGAGAACGGATGGGACGAGCTGTTCATTCAAAGACGTTGGAACCGATGGCATATCCTCGTCGCAAGTAAAGATGTCTGGGGCTGGACAGAATGATGACGCCTTGCTCAGTGCATCGCGTTTTGATAGGGAAGAAATGAAGTCATTCAATCCCTGGAGATTGATGTACACATCTTGATCCATGTTGAGAGTTGTGAGGGCCTCCAATTCGAGCTTTGGCTGACAATAGTTGCGAATTGATTGCCATCGCTCACACACCAGACGGGAGGCTAAGCATACAGAGTCATGGACTTTCGACAGCCATGTTCCAGGGACAGGGTGTTGCAGCTTCAAAAGTCGCCTTGACACTTTGGTGGACATGATTCTGAGAGTCTCGCTTGCAGAGTGCAGGTTTGTCGCATCTCTGAGCAGGCGGCTGAGAAGGAAAACCATGAAGGACTTGTAGATTTCTTCTGAGCTGACAGCCATGCGGTCCATGGTCAGATGAAGGGAACAGCGGATGAGGAGCCAAACGGGAGATCGTCTCCAAGGAAGCTTGGAATTCTTGTAAATGACATCCTCCCTAGTATTCTTACTCACTCCAGGAACGGCAATCGGATGGCCGACTCCTTGGAGGAAGCTGCTCAACAACTCCGTGACAATTCGTGGGTCGTTGGTTTCGCGTTCTTCATCATGAACTTGTTCCGCCTTTCGCGCCTTTGGAATGATTTCGTGAACTGCCTCGTAACTCATCTTGGCCATGGTTTTGGCTAGGACTTTCTGGAATGATTCATCGGTGAATGTTTCCAGAGGAACGCCAATTGCAGTCGCCGGAAAGTGGCGAATGAGACGTCCTTTAGTCGCATAGACGGCTTGGTTGGTGGGAGAGAGCTCAAACAACTCGAATATGGCCATATCCTTGTCTCGTCGAAGCAATACCCCCGCATTCTGTGCCCTGATGTGGAATGGCGCAGCAGTGTCTGTTAAGCATGTAGAGTATTCGTTAGAATTATCAACATTGCGAATCCAGAGGGGAAGAAACTGACCAGGGGAAAGGAGCTGCGTCAGAATGTCCAGCAATTTGCCTTCTTTGACAAAACCCTTGTCGTCTCTTCCAGCTATCATGTTCTCTACCATTGCAGTTGCAGTCATGACAGCTCGCTGGCAGATAAGCTCCGTTTCTTGTAGGTATTCTGACAGGGTCTCGAGTACATATTTGATCAATACAGTCTCGTTCGCAACCGATGTATCATCCCCATCAGGTAGTTTTGGAGGCAAACAAACGTGGTGGAAAAGGTACTCGAGCGTGCGTGCGCTTAGCACATTAGATGGCGATGTAGGCATAATAGCGGACTGAGAAGATATAGACAAACTATGCTGTGACTTTGGAACGCAATGCAGACCGGGTTGGGCTTAAAGCGCGAGAAGTAAATGCATACTGCAAAAGATATTGTTAGAGGATGCTGGGCAGCTAGCTATATATATTAAACCCAGACTGATCTGTTTAGGCATAGTAAATCAGTAGCAGTGTATAGACTAATGCGGGAGGCCGACAACCAGGTGTTACCTAACACTACAGTAGTAAAAAACAAGGTTAGACAGGGAGGCGTCTGCAGCAAAGGCAGCAGCAGAGGCAGTAGCAGAGGCAGCAGTAAAAACAGTAGTAAAGGCAGTAGTAAAGGCAGTAGTAAAGGCAGTAGTAAAGGCAGTAGCAGAGGCAGTAGCAGAGGCAGTAGTAAAGGCAGTAGTAAAGGCAGTAGTAAAGGCAGTAGTAAAGGCAGTAGTAAAGGCAGTAGTAGAGGCAGTAGCAGAGGCAGCAGCAGAGGCAGTAGCAGAGGCAGTAGTAGAAGCAGTAGTAGAGGCAGTAGTAAAGGCAGTAGTAAAAGCAGTAGTAGAGGCAGTAGTAAAGGCAGTAGTAAAAATAGTAGTAAAGGCAGTAGTAAAAGTAATAGTAAAGGTAGTAGTTATATTTTATTTATAAAGTAAAGGTTAATATAAAAAGGGAGAAAAAAATTCTTAAATTTTAAATTAAAATAAATATAAAAAATTATAATAAAATCTATTAATAAATTTATATTTTAAAACTTTTTTTTAATTTTAAATAGTATTTTTATAAAATTAATTATAATATATTTTAAAATCTTATATTAAAATACTTTTAGCTTAGTATTATATAACTTAATAAAAATATATTTAAATTATAATATAAGTTAAAAATTTATTAAACTTAAATAAAAAAACTTATTTTATAAAAAGTAATATAATTTAAAGTTAAAGTTATATTATACTTATAAAGTAAAAATTAAAGTAAAAAAAGAAAAAAAAATTTAAATTTTAAATTAAAATAAATATAAAAAATATAATAAAATTTATTATAAAATTTATATTTTAAAATCTTTTTTTAATTTTTAATAATACTTTTTTAAAATTAATTATAAAATATTTTAAAATTTTATATTAAAATAGTTTTAATTTAGTATTTTATAACTTAATAAAAAATATATTTTAAATATAATATAAATTAAAAATTTACTAAGCCTAAATAAAAAAGCCTTACTTAATAAAAAATACCTTTTTAATTAATTTAGCCTAGTCTTTTAATTAATAAAAATCTGCAGGTGCTTTATACCTAGGGTTAAAAAAGAAAAGAAAAACTTAGTAAAATTTTTTTTTTTTTTTTTTATTTAATTTTACCTTTAAGCTTATAAAAAACTAACTATATATAGGCTTTTATAAATAAAAATAATACTTTTAAAATAGTTAAAGCTAGGTAGATTTTTATATATTTTTATTTAAGCTATACCTCTTTTAGTTAGCTTAAAAAAGCTAAAAAATAAAAAATAGTATTTTTATAATTTTCTCCTTAATTAAGTATAGTATTAATAAAGGGTAGGGCTTAGGACCCACTTAAATAATTAGCTTAAAATCTAGTTAATATCCCTGCTAATGCCTTTCCTCCTGCAGTACTTAAGCTTAAAAAGTAGTAGTATAAGAATCTTTAGTTATAAATAACTAGGCTATTAGTAAATGTATTAAGCTATAAATAGTACTATTAAAAAGCTAATTTTTTAATAGATTTTTTTATATAATTTACTATTTTATATCTAGTCTAATTAGCTTTTTATTTAAGGAAGAAGATAAGATATATTATTTAAGAGGTAAGGTATAGCTTACTTAAGTAAATAATTAGCTTAAAATCTAGTTAATATCCCTGCTAGTGTATTTACCCTTACTACTTTACTTACTTACCTTTTACTTAAGTAAGCCTTAAAAAAAGAAAAAAGTAAAAATAGCTTTTTACTTATAAAAATTAAAGTAAAATAAAATAGCTATAAATATATAAAAAATAGCTTTAAATAGCTTATTTTTTACTAGATTTTTATATATTTTTTATATAGCTATTTTTATTTATATAAGTATTTATTTTTACTTTATAAAAAAAGTATATTATTTTATACTTATAATATAAAACTACTATTTATTATAAAATAAAATAGCTAAAAATATATAAAAAATTACTTTAAGTAGCTTATTAAGTATTAAAATTATATATATTTTTTATATAGCTATATTTCTTTAATAAATAGGTATTTTAAGCTTTATATATAAATATAATAGTAAAATAATATATTATATAGCTTTTTATTAATAAATAAAATAGCTAAAAATATAAAAAAATAGCTTTAAAATACTTATTTTTAATTAGAATTTTATATATTTTTAATATATAAGATCTTTTACTTTTTTATAAGCTTCCTACTTTAAATTAAATTTTTACTTTTTTTTACTATTTTACTATATCTTAAATAAAGGCTTTAAAAATATTAAAAAAATCTTCTTATATATTATAAGCTATAAGGATTATATATATTTTTTTTTTTAATTTTTAAAGTAAGTATTAAAGCTAGAATTAAAGTTTTAATTTTTTAAGGCTTTATTTTAAAAAAGGCAGTAATAGCTTATAAAAGAAATTTCTCTTTCTTTTATACTAAAAGTACTTTTTTCTTAATAATAAAGTTTTAATAATTTTTACTATACTTAATTAATATAAATTTTTTTCTTTTTATAAAACTAGTCTTTTTAAGCTTATAGCTTTATTAGTTTTTTTTTAAATAATTTTTTTAATTTTTAATATTTTTATTTTTTTTTACTTTATATTATATAATAGCTTAAAAAAATATAATAAATATATAAAAAATATTATATTATATATTATTTTTTTTTAAAATTTTATATATTTTTTATTTATTTATAAAAGGTTATATAAATATTTATTACTTAAGTATATTTTTTATATACTTTAATTTAAAATATTAATTTTAATTAATAAAATAAATTATAATAAATATATAAAAATTACTTTTATATATTTTATATATTAAATTTATTATATATATTTTTATATTAAATAATATTTAATATTTAAAATATAATTTTACTTTAAAAATTAAAGTAAATTATTTTAAATATAAAATAAATTCTTTTAAATATAAAGTAATATATAACTTTTTATATAATAAAAAAATAAATAAAAATAAAAAAATTATATTTTATATAATATATTTTTAAATAAACTTTTATAAATTTTTTATTTTATAAAAAAAATTAATATAAGTAATAATTTAATAAATATATATAAAAAGTTTTTATATAAATTATTTTTATTTAAATATATATAAAAAATTTTTTTATTTAAATTATTTTTACTTTAATATATATTAACTTTACTTTTATTTAATTTATTTTTACTTAAGTATATATTAAACTTACTTTTATTTAAATTATTTTTATTTAAAATTATATTAATTTTATTTTTATTTAAATTACTTTTATTTAAGTATATATAAAAAAGTCTTTTACTTAAATTATTTTTACTTAAGTATATATAAAAAAGTCTTTTATATAAATTACTTTTACTTAAGTATATATAAAAAACTTTTATAATTTATTTACTTTTACTTAAATATATATAAAAAAATCTTTTATATAAATTATTTTTACTTAAATATATATAAAAAAATCTTTTATTTAAATTATTTTTATTTAAATATATATTAAACTTACTTTTATTTAAATTATTTTTATTTAAATATATATAAAAAAGTCTTTTATATAAATTATTTTTATTTAAGTATATATTAATTTTACTTTTATTTAAATTACTTTTATTTAAGTATATATAAAAAAGTCTTTTATTTAAATTACTTTTACTTAAATATATATTAAATTTATTTTTATTTAAATTACTTTTACTTAAGTATATATTAAACTTATTTTTATTTAAATTACTTTTATTTAAGTATATATAAAAAAATCTTTTATTTAAATTACTTTTATTTAAATATATATTAAACTTACTTTTATTTAAATTACTTTTACTTAAGTATATATAAAAAAAACTTTTATTTAAATTACTTTTACTTAAATATATATTAAATTTATTTTTAATTAAATTATTTTTACTTAAGTATATATAAAAAAGTCTTTTATATAAATTACTTTTACTTAAATATATATTAATTTTACTTTTATTTAATTTAATTTTATTTAAATATATATTAAACTTATTTTTATTTAAATTATTTATATTTAAATATATATTAACTTTACTTTTATTTAAATTACTTTTATTTAAATATATATAAAAAAGTTTTTTATTTAATTAATTTTTATTTAAGTATATATTAAATTTACTTTTATTTAAATTACTTTTACTTAAGTATATATAAAAAAGTCTTTTACTTAAATAACTTTTACTTAAGTATATATTAAACTTACTTTTAATTAAATTACTTTTACTTAAGTATATATAAAAAAGTCTTTTATATAAATTACTTTTACTTAAGTATATATTAAACTTACTTTTATTTAAATTACTTTTACTTAAGTATATATTAAACTTACTTTTATTTAAATTACTTTTACTTAAGTATATATAAAAAAAACTTTTATTTAAATTACTTTTACTTAAATATATATTAAATTTACTTTTATTTAAATTACTTTTACTTAAGTATATATAAAAAAAACTTTTATTTAAATTACTTTTACTTAAATATATATTAAATTTATTTTTAATTAAATTATTTTTATTTAAGTATATATAAAAAAGTCTTTTATATAAATTACTTTTACTTAAATATATATTAACTTTATTTTTATTTAATTTAATTTTACTTAAATATATATTAAACTTACTTTTATTTAAATTATTTATATTTAAATATATATTAACTTTACTTTTATTATAAGGTGAAAACTGGTCTTATAGGTTCGGGTTAGAAATTCTTTGCCTAGATAAAGATTTCTTGCCCGCCCTAAATTCTTCGCCCGGATAAAGATTTCTCGCCTAACCCAGATTCTTCGCCCAGACGAAGATTTCTCGCCCAACCCAGATTCTTCACCCGGATAAAGATTTCTCGCCCAACCTAAATTCTTCGCCCAGATAAAGATTTCTCGCCTGACCTAGATTCTTCGCCCGGACGAAGATTTCTCGCCTAACCCAGATTCTTCACCCAGACGAAGATTTCTTACCCAACCTAAAATCTTCGCCCAGATAAAGATTTCTCGCCTAACCCAAATTCTTCGCCTAGACAAAGATTTCTCGCCCAACCTAGATTCTTCGCCTAGACGAAGATTTCTCGCCCAACCCAGATTCTTCGCCCAGACAAAGATTTCTTGCCAAACCCAAATTCTTCACCCAGATAAAGATGTCTAGCCTAACTTGCCCGCCCTAAATTCTTCGCCTAGATAAAGATTTCTCGCCTAACCCAGATTCTTCGCCTAGATAAAGATTTCTTGCCCAACCCAAAATCTTCGCCCGGATAAAGATTTCTCGCCTAACCCAAATTCTTCGCCTAGACGAAGATTTCTCGCCCAACCCAGATTCTTCGCCCAGATAAAGATTTCTCGCCTAACCCAGATTCTTCGCCTAGACGAAGATTTCTCGCCTGACCTAAAATCTTCGCAGATGTCTGGCCTGACCTAAATTCTTCGCCCAGACAAAGATTTCTCGCCCAACCTAAATTCTTCACCCAGATAAAGATATCTGGCCCGACCCAGATTCTTCGCCTGGATAAAGATTTCTCGCCCGACCTAAAATCTTCGCAGATGTCTGGCCTGACCTAAATTCTTTACCCAGATAAAGATTTCTCGCCCAACCCAAATTCTTCGCCCGGACAAAGATGTCTGGCCCGACCCAGATTCTTCACCTAGACGAAGATTTCTCGCCTAACCTAAAATCTTCGCCTAGACAAAGATGTCTAGCCTGACCCAAATTCTTTACCTGGACGAAGATTTCTTGCCAAACCCAAATTCTTCGCCTAGATAAAAATGTCTAGCCTAACTTGCCTGCCCCAAGTTCTTCGCCCAGACGAAGATTTCTCGCCTAACCCAGATTCTTTGCCTAAATGAAGATTTCTTGCTAAACCTAAATTCTTCGCCTAGATAAAGATGTCTGGCCAAACCCAAATTCTTCGCCCAGACGAAGATTTCTCGCCCGACCTAGATTCTTCGCCCAGACAAAGATTTCTTGCCAAACCTAAATTCTTCGCCCAGACGAAGATGTCTGGCCAAACCTAAATTCTTTACCTAGATAAAAATGTCTGGCCTAACTTGCCCGCCTTAAATTCTTCGCCCAGATAAAGATGTCTGGCCTAACCCAAATTCTTCGCCTGGACAAAGATTTCTCGCCCAACCTAAATTCTTCACCCGGACAAAGATGTCTAGCCTAACCTAAATTCTTCGCCTAGATAAAGATTTCTCGCCCAACCTAAAATCTTCGCCCAGACAAAGATGTCTGGCCTAACCTAAATTCTTTACCTAGATAAAGATTTCTCGCCCAACCCAAATTCTTCGCCTAGATAAAGATGTCTGGCCTAACCCAAATTCTTCGCCTAGATAAAGATTTCTCGCCTAACCCAAATTCTTCGCCTGGACGAAGATGTCTGGCCTGACCCAAATTCTTCGCCCGGACAAAGATTTCTCGCCTGACCTAGATTCTTCGCCTAGATGAAGATTTCTTGCCAAACCCAAATTCTTCACCCAGACAAAGATGTCTAGCCAAACCCAAATTCTTCGCCTAGATAAAGATTTCTCGCCCAACCTAGATTCTTCACCTAGACAAAGATTTCTTACCAAACCCAAATTCTTCACCCAGATAAAGATGTCTAGCCAAACCTAAATTCTTCACCCAGACAAAGATGTCTAGCCTGACTTGCCCGCCCTAAATTCTTCGCCTAGATAAAGATTTCTCGCCCAACCCAAATTCTTCACCCAGATAAAGATTTCTTACTAAACCTAAATTCTTCACCCAGATAAAGATATCTAGCCCGCCCCAAATTCTTCGCCCAGATAAAGATTTCTCGCCTAACCCAGATTCTTCACATAGACGAAGATGTCTAGCCGGACTTGCCCGCCCTGAAGTCTTCGCCCAGATGAAGATATCTGGCCATACCTGAATTCGTCGCCTAGACAAAGATATCTAGCCTGACTTGCCCGCCTTAAATTCTTCGCCTGGATAAAGATTTCTCGCCTAACCCAAATTCTTCGCCTAGACGAAGATTTCTCGCCTAACCCAGATTCTTCGCCTAAACGAAGATTTCTTGCCAAACCCAAATTCTTCACCCAGACGAAGATATCTAGCCTAACTTACCCGCCCTAAATTCTTCGCCCAGATGAAGATTTCTCGCCTAACCCAAATTCTTCGCCCAGACAAAGATTTCTTGCCAAACCTAAATTCTTCACCCAGATAAAGATGTCTCGCTAAACCCAAATTCTTCGCCCGGACGAAGATGTCTGGCCTGACCTAAATTCTTCGCCTAGACAAAGATGTCTGGCCTGACTTGCCTGCCCTAATTTTTAGCCTAGGTAAAGATGGTACCGGCTCGATTGATCACGTGG